GTTTTCAGCGATAATTGCCAATTCATTTCGAGATTAGCAGGTTTATACTTATAAGGAACAATATAATATCCGGAATACAGCCATGTATTCCTAACATTATAGTGCTGGAATACATATTTAGTTGTCCGGACCCCCTCTTTGTGGAATAGAAAGGTATTAAATGTACCTTTTCTAAAACACTGTGTTTGCTCCGCCTACATTGCAGAGATCCTCAATCTTGAGGATCACAGCCAATACTTTCACATTGGGAGACTATTGCACATGCGCAGCATGTCTTCATAGAGATACACTGAATCAATGCATCTCTATGGGGAACGTTCAACATGGAGACGCTGAACGTAGGTACTGCACACTTTTCACCACTGAACTAAAAAGCATCTCTTGTAGCCGAAAAGGCAGCATGTACATGGAGAAGCCTGCAGAGACACGCTATAGACACCAGAATCATTACATTAACCTATAGTGGTTCTTATGATTAAAGTGTCCCTTTAAAACTAGCACAGGTTCCTTCCCATCCAAGATTCTTGTAGTTTTGTTTTGCATACTGTGCCTTCTTTATTTTGTATTTTTTTTTTTATGCAGATGAAAAAAGAAATCTTACATAACTTCTTTAGACACTCACTAAAGGCAAAAATCGCAATATCCTCTATCATTTCTGACCTTTAACAAAAATTGTAATCTTTCTTTTATTAACAAAAGCTTGCTTTTTTTTTTTTTTTGCACCACAAGGTCTTGCACCAGCTGCTTTGTGTCAGAGTTGCTCTGTATGATATTTCAGTGGCAACGTCGAAACACAAAAATAAATGGAATTATGATAAATATTTAGGTCTTGCAATGTTCATTTCATTTTCGAGGTTCTGTTGGTTCAAGGGGATACAGACTATGAGTTTTTTGTGAGTGAGTTTAACACCGACAACTGAAAAGTAAAGACACGTACACAAATACCATGCGCAAAGAAAGTCAAGCAGCCAGCACACTGTTGCATGCCTACAAGTATAGAGTTTTGGTTTTCTGTGTAATCATGTAATTGTGGGTTTTAAAGTCATGTTTAACACCTTATTTTCCAGTATATTTTCAAAATTCAACAAAGTTTGTTCTTCACAGTGCACTGAAAAATTAGTTTAAAAATACATATGCTCATTCAAGCAGGGTCCGTATTAACCTATTGTTCCTGTTACACTTTGTAATTGTCTCAGTTATTGTAGAATTTATTTCCCCTTTCTAATACTGTAAAGATCTGTGGAATAAATTGGTACTATATGAATGCCAATAATAATAATTTCTGGGAAAAGCAAGCCTTATGGTTTGACTGGAGTGTTCAGATTTGTATTTAACAATGTATTGACTATCTAATATTTGGATGTATAAAAATAAATAATGAAGCCCTAATTGACTGATCTTTGAAATTATTGAAAAAATATTTTAGTAGGTGGAAATATGGTTTTAACTCCGCAATTAATTAATTCTGAAATCAGGATAAAAAATTTAATCTGCTGGTGGGAGAGAACAGGGACAGTCTGGCAAACCAGTAATTGCCCTCCTGTGATCTCTGATACGTTCACTATAGGAGCATAGACGCACTTTGCTAATGGTATAATTGGAAACGTTTTTGTTAAATTTGTACTGTGTAACTTAAAACAATGCAAGACCCTAGCAGCTGACCTGAACGGTCGCATTGCATCTGAGCTCCCGAAAAAATGGCCTAAATGAAGCACAAAACACGGCAAAACTTAACGAAAACCAACCCAAAGGGACCCCCAGCCATCCACATAAGGATGGGGCGAAAAACAAAAAAGCAGAAAGCTGAAAAACCAAACCTGGGCATGAACATTGGAGACTTATGGCGGCAGGCACATGGAGCCTCACAAGCCCAGATGGCGTCTTACCCTGACTTCCCAGACGACCACACCCTGGGGTCGGGAGACCTTCTCATGCTGGAACCTCAAAGACCAAAAGTAAACCCGGCACCACCCTCCACCCAAAAGGACACGTCTCTGGTAACCAAGGCAGACATGCAAGAGCTGCTGTCGGGCCTCCGACGGGATATACACGCGGACGTGGCCGCACTCCGTGCCGACCTCCAACGCCTGACAGGCCATATGGGAGCTCTGGAAATGGACTCCCACAACAACAAACAGCAAGTAACCTTCAATCAGAGATACGGTCCCTATGGAAACACCATGCCGCCCTGGAAAGAAAAGTTACATCCATGGAAGACGCAAGGCGGTCTAAGAATCTAAAGATAAGAGGGGTGGCAGAGACGGTGCCGGACACGGAATTACCGCATTTTATGAGACTCCTTCTGGGCTCAATCATGCCCCTGAAACAGGCAAAACTGATAACAATGGAAAAATTGTTCAGAATACCTAAACCCATTAAAGCCCCAACCGAGGCTCCCAGGGACCCGATCGTAAGCTTTCAGACAAGTCAGGACAAAGCAGCTGTGATGAATGCGTTACGGGGACACTCACCTTACATGTTTGAAAATTCGTCCCTGACTTTCTTCGCGGATCTATCTGGGGACACACTGAAATGGCGGAGAACCCTGCAGCCTCTCACAACGCTACTCCGCTCACACACCATGACCTACCGGTGGAGGGCGGCCCAGACCCTGATGATCACCCACAGAGGTAACTCCTACCCGGTGCACAAGTTGGAAGAAGCGGCTGGGATCCTAGGGGACTTGGGTCTCCCTCCCGACTCCCTCTCCAAGGCCATGCACCAGCCAGCCACCGCACTGCACAACTGGGACCCAGCGAACGTCACTGCCTTCGTCCCCCGGAGGCCCCAAGAGATCACCTAAGCAGCGGACACGACATAATGGCACAACACGGAGAAGAGTCTATAGTCTCCCCTTACAAAGGACAGGCTGCTCTCCATTTGCCACCCAGGCGCGGCCAGGACAGTCAGTACAAAGCCTAATGTTAACTGACAGAACTGTATTTAACGTTTAATGCTTACGAAGGTTGCAGATATGCCTAAACACTACTGCCTCTATGGTTAATTGGCTGCTGTTATTACCAACTCTTCGTTATCACTCTACTCTGCTAATTTTAATTTAATTTGACTAACCTTACTCTATCAATGTCGACCTTTAACGCTGCAAGATATGCAGGATATGCTAACACTTGGCTAGAAAGACCCGACCACTAGCGCCCTAATTAAACCACACGCACACCAGGTACCCCCACAGCCCACACCTCCCACACACACTCATTAACAACGAGACTATGAACAGACTGCAATCCCGGGACGACTCCTTATCTCCCTGGGGTACACACAAGCACACAACTACTTCTCTTTAAATGCTCCTCTAACACTTGCTCCTCTAACACTTGCAGCGACTCACACACCATTTAGCCAGCCAAAGACAAGGGTACACTGTGGCTGCTCACAGTTTAATAGACATGCCCCTACTCACGGTATACTAAGTCATTTTTACTTAGTATTAGTAAATTTGGCTGAAAGACCATTTTAGGTCTTTCAGCCTTTTGGTAGATAGCTCCCTAATATCGTGGGAATTAGAGAGTTATCTACTAAACGGCTGCAAGAGAACATCCTTAGTTCCGAATTTCGAAATGCCGAACCAAATTTTTTCCCCATGCACATCCCTCGTAATCTGTGAGTGGTTGGTAATTTTGCAAACAGACTTTATTAACTGGAAGCAGCACTTGCAACTGAAGTCCTAAGTTCCAATAGAGCAATATGCAATACTTGGGGCATTGTACCGTCCAGGCGCAGTGATTCGGAGCTGATCTTGAGCTCCAGAAAAGTGCAAGTGCAATCTTTTTTATTTGCCATATTTGAGACCCTAAAGTCACCTGGGGGGTTGTAACATTTTTATTTAGGGCCCCCACCCGCCGCTCAGGGGTAGGGGTCGGGGGGGAGGGCAATAGGTCCCCCCCGCCATATTGGTATTTAAGGCCCCCACACGCCACTCAGGGGTGGGGGCCGGGGGGGAGGACAATAGGTCCCCCCCCCCCCTTTATTTTACTTAAAAGCCCCCCACCTGCCGCTTAGGGGTGGGGGCTGGGGGGGAGGACAATAGGTCTAATTTCAGCACTTCGGAAATTCGGCATTCCGGCAATTCAGCTATTCGAACATTCGGAAGTATCTGAATGTCCGAATTGCCTGAAATTCGTTCAAATTGACATTCGGAACAAAACAAATTGCACATGTCCATAACAACCACACCTTACCCCTGAATGATGTGCACATGGGTGATTAATGAGCTGAGAGAAAGAGGAACTTTAACTGTCAGAAAAGAGGCAGTTCACTTCAACACCCCATTATAAGCAAAGGATGACTCCTTCTCTGGCTTCAAATGTGTTATCTTTGTTTTATTTTATGTTTTGTTATGTAGCTGGAGAGACTGCCTGTGAGTTGTGTGTTTGGAGAATTAACTGTTGTAATATCAGCCCTTACAGCAAACCATAGGTCTATAAATCGACTTTAGACACTCCCTATGTGGCAGCTGCATACATTATTTATGCAAAGGGTCACTGAACATTACCAGTAATATTTCATGATATCTGGCTTGGTTAATTATGACTGTACATAAACACAATAACAGTGAGTGTATTAATTTACTTCTTTGATGTTAAGGGCACTAAAGTTGCTTGCAAAAATCTGTAAAAGAGGGACATTGTATGGTATTTTTTAATGGTTAGAGATAAACAGTGTTTTAAACGGCCAATAATATTTCTCAACGAAATGGTCTTGGTACAGTGGCCATTTTGTTTTGTAGAAATTGCAATGTTTATGTCGCAGGTTAACATACCTCTAATGGCTATCTTACACTTTAACGTTTGTAATACATGTTTGTATTTCTAACACTATAGTATTAATTTAAGAAAATACTGGTTTTGGACAGAAAACCTTTACTATACCGGTCCTCCCCAAATGTGCAAGCTGGCATCAGTAGCCAAGTTTGCACAGAATTCACATTAGCCAACACACAGCCATAGGTTGTTACACCTCTGGCAGGTGTGGTGTTTCACAGTCAATGGCTTGCCTATTCCACATTTTCTTTGATTAAAAAAACAACTTTCAGCTGGATCTCTCAAGGGGGAAAACTTCCATGGGATGCAACTTGGGAGTCAAATATATTTGCTGCTTTTCATAGTTCAGCAACGCAAGTGATAAAGCACAGTACCAGTAAAAAAAACATAAGTCACCTAACTTACATAGTTGGTTTCAAAGGCTGAAAAGAGACATGTGTCCATCAAGTTCAGCCTTCCTCACACTTGTTTTTTGCTGTTGCTCCAAAAGATGGCAATAACCCAGTTTGAAGCACTTTCAATTTTGCAACAAACTAGGGGGGCTGTTTAAATATCTGCACGGACTCTGATAAAACTACTTTTTCAGGCAGAAAATTCCATATCCTTATTGTTCTTAGTAAAAAAAAACTTTCCTTTGCGTTAGACTAAATCTTCTTTCTTCCAGTCTAAATGCATGACCTTGTATCCTATGTAAAGTCCTGTTTGTGAATAGATTTCTACACAATGGTTTGTATTGGCCCCTGATATATTTTTATAATGTTAATTATTTTGTTCTTGCTATATAACTTATTCTTAGACCAACATTTTTTTATTTTATTTTTTTTAAGTCCATTGCAACTCCACAATGGACTTGTTTGGCAAGTTAAAAATATTTGATCCCATGAAATCCCAACTGAAATGCCACTCAGAGATTATAGAATGATGGAAAATGAAATGACCTCCTTTAATTGTGTGTGCCTGCCGCCCGATGATGCTGGAACACTTTAATCTTGAGGGAGCTTAGCTTTTCATTTAAGTGTGCCCAGGTAGCTTTGATTACTAATATTAAGATAAGAGGCTTACTTTCTTTTGTGTATTTATGTTGGTACAAGAGGAAAATTACACTCATTAAGTTTAGCTGTGTTCCATATTGTCTACGAAGAACAGGCAGTGAAAGATCTTCCTCAAATCACCTTGTCTAAGAACACTTCTCTGTTGTACTCAGCACTCTACTGATTGCAAGTTTATTTTATCATGATTTATACGATTAGGGACATCATTCCCTCTACTTCTGAAATCCCACATAAGAATATTTTTCAAATTATTTAAAATTTCATTTAAATAATTGTTTTATCCGGATCTTACTTATTGTCTAATTTAGTGACATGATACTTTTTTTTTTTTTTTAAATCATGCAGCACAAGAGGTTTCTCTGTGTTGTTTTGTTATGCTCATGAAAGAAGGAAATAGTACGTCTTCTAGGATTTCTTTCTGCGTAGGCTAAAGCTCTCAGTTGAATATTTCTCCTTTTCTGTTATGGTTGCCTTTTGTGCTTTATTGATGATGTGCATTGTGTCTAATCGCGTGCTTTCATTCTGGCTCCAATGCCGATGCCTACAAAGAAAGATCCTGTACCACTTTTTATGTACTGGTGAAACTGACACTATATTTTTACTATAATTTCACATCATTGACATATATATATCTCTATCCCACATACTGGATATACTCGAGTATAATTCGACCCGAATATAAGTCGAGACCCCTAATTTTACCCCAAAAAACTGGGAGGGAGAACTTATTGACTCGAGTATAAGACTAGGGTGGGAAATGCAGCAGCTACTGGTAAATTTCTAAATAAAATTAGATCCCCCAAAAAATTACATTAATTGAATATTTATTTTGTGTATATAATGAATGCAATCTGTGTGTGTATGAATGCAGTGTGTGTAGTGTGTGTGTGTATGAATGCAGTGTGTGTGTGTGTATAAAGAGGTAACCTTGTGGGGTGGGTATTTTTTAGCTATTTTTTTAAATTATTATTTTAATATTAAATTTAGTTTTTAATATTTTTTGGCTTTATTTTTAATATTATTAGCATTTCTTATTATATTATTATTTTTTATATTTTGTATTTGCAGAGTTTTTGGTCCCTCCCTGCGCTTGATACATGGCCAGGGAGTGGGGCTCTCCTTCCCTGGTGGTCCAGTGGCATGGGCTGTGTAGGAGGGGGGCTGGCAGGAAGCTGTTCCTTCTCCTCCTTTCCGGTCAGCTCCCTTATCCTCCACTGTAAGTCTCGCAAGACTTACAGTGGAGGAGAAGGGAGCTGACCGGAACGGAGGTGAAGGGAGCTGACAGGAGCTGCAGGAAAGGTAAGTTACAGCTCGCTGCCGGCCCCCAAAAGGACCGCTGGGCTTGTAATGAGCCTGGCGGTCCATGTCTGTATTATGGCAATGTAAGTTGCCATAATACAGACACTGACTCGAGTAGAAGACGAGTGGGGGGTTTTCAGCACAAAAAAATGTGCCGAAAAACTTGTATTATACTCGAGTATATACGGTATATAGGAAGCAAAAACCAGAAAGGTTATAGTGGGGAAAATTTTTTATTCAAAACCCCTTCCACCTAGTATTTAGAGGGCTGATATTTGCCTATTATTATCATCATCCTAGTTCTATTTGAATTTAGGAAGCTCAAAATTTGGGCAGGACAGTCTGTGGGCCTCAATCTGTTATGTTAAAGCTTTAGGTTATAGAGAACTGACATTTGCCTCCTGTAACCGAAGTGAGGGTAGAAGCATCAATCTCTACTTTCTGGAGGTGCTAAGAATTCACACAGTGTTTTTCAAAAATACATTTTGAATTATTACAAAACCAGGTGCTCCCTACGAACTCAGAGATCGTTTGGGAGCAGAGCTGAGCTATGGCAGGTGGACTGGGTTCTTGGCTTACAAGAAAGCTACCTGACAGAGGCCAGGACCCATCATGTTTCCTGAGATGGCAGTAGTCATTTGTGCTGAAATTTATAATGTAAAAAGTACCTTGCAGGGTCTTCCACTTTCTATAGCAGCACAGTATTTACCAGGAAGGTAGACGGGTAGCTACTATATGCAGACCGCATGAGCAGGCAGCAGTCTTGTCAAGTACCTGCCCTTTCGTGGCAAGTAGTTCTGCATCCGCTACAAGTAACCAAACACGCTGCTATTTCACTTTGTGGCCTTGTAGCTCACAGGGATTCTGTGATTGCTATTGCTGTGTGATCATTTTTTGCTGATAGCCCTTCTGCAATTCCCTATGCACTTATTCTCCCATGCCCACACAACCCATTATTATCTCTCAATAACTCACACCAAACTCCCCAATCAACCTATTAACCTATTATGCCTTCCTGCCAACCAGGCCTCTTTATGCCTAACAAGTCATGTTCATGCCATCTTCTATGCTCATCTAGTCACACGTACCCAACTTGTCACATACCCCACCTCCAATCCTTTGCATAGAGAAGTGGTAACAATAACCCTCTTTGCTCACCCATGGGTGAGAATAATCTCACTGCAGACTTCTGTATTTTGTCTTGGGTAAAGCAAATAAAACAAAATATACTCCTTGCATGTTAAATTCATATATGAAGTCCATTAAATGTAAGTTAAATTAATACTTGTTATTGCCAAGTTAAATGAGTTTGTGAGTTTTATAAAGCACATGGGATGCAACTTGGGAGTCAAATATATTTGCTGCTTTTCATAGTTCAGCAACGCAAGTGATAAAGCACAGTACCAGTAAAAAAAACATAAGTCACCTAACTTACATAGTTGGTTTCAAAGGCTGAAAAGAGACATGTGTCCATCAAGTTCAGCCTTCCTCACACTTGTTTTTTGCTGTTGCTCCAAAAGATGGCAATAACCCAGTTTGAAGCACTTTCAATTTTGCAACAAACTAGGGGGGCTGTTTAAATATCTGCACGGACTCTGATAAAACTACTTTTTCAGGCAGAAAATTCCATATCCTTATTGTTCTTAGTAAAAAAAAACTTTCCTTTGCGTTAGACTAAATCTTCTTTCTTCCAGTCTAAATGCATGACCTTGTATCCTATGTAAAGTCCTGTTTGTGAATAGATTTCTACACAATGGTTTGTATTGGCCCCTGATATATTTTTATAATGTTAATTATTTTGTTCTTGCTATATAACTTATTCTTAGACCAACATTTTTTTATTTTATTTTTTTTAAGTCCATTGCAACTCCACAATGGACTTGTTTGGCAAGTTAAAAATATTTGATCCCATGAAATCCCAACTGAAATGCCACTCAGAGATTATAGAATGATGGAAAATGAAATGACCTCCTTTAATTGTGTGTGCCTGCCGCCCGATGATGCTGGAACACTTTAATCTTGAGGGAGCTTAGCTTTTCATTTAAGTGTGCCCAGGTAGCTTTGATTACTAATATTAAGATAAGAGGCTTACTTTCTTTTGTGTATTTATGTTGGTACAAGAGGAAAATTACACTCATTAAGTTTAGCTGTGTTCCATATTGTCTACGAAGAACAGGCAGTGAAAGATCTTCCTCAAATCACCTTGTCTAAGAACACTTCTCTGTTGTACTCAGCACTCTACTGATTGCAAGTTTATTTTATCATGATTTATACGATTAGGGACATCATTCCCTCTACTTCTGAAATCCCACATAAGAATATTTTTCAAATTATTTAAAATTTCATTTAAATAATTGTTTTATCCGGATCTTACTTATTGTCTAATTTAGTGACATGATACTTTTTTTTTTTTTTTAAATCATGCAGCACAAGAGGTTTCTCTGTGTTGTTTTGTTATGCTCATGAAAGAAGGAAATAGTACGTCTTCTAGGATTTCTTTCTGCGTAGGCTAAAGCTCTCAGTTGAATATTTCTCCTTTTCTGTTATGGTTGCCTTTTGTGCTTTATTGATGATGTGCATTGTGTCTAATCGCGTGCTTTCATTCTGGCTCCAATGCCGATGCCTACAAAGAAAGATCCTGTACCACTTTTTATGTACTGGTGAAACTGACACTATATTTTTACTATAATTTCACATCATTGACATATATATATCTCTATCCCACATACTGGATATACTCGAGTATAATTCGACCCGAATATAAGTCGAGACCCCTAATTTTACCCCAAAAAACTGGGAGAACTTATTGACTCGAGTATAAGACTAGGGTGGGAAATGCAGCAGCTACTGGTAAATTTCTAAATAAAATTAGATCCCCCAAAAAATTACATTAATTGAATATTTATTTTGTGTATATAATGAATGCAATCTGTGTGTGTATGAATGCAGTGTGTGTAGTGTGTGTGTGTATGAATGCAGTGTGTGTGTGTGATGCAGAGTGTGTAACCTTGGTGGGGGGTGGGCATTTTTATTATTTTTTTAAATTATTATTTTAATATTAAATTTAGTTTTTTTCAATATTTTTATTTTATTTTAATATTATTACATTTTTTATTATATTATTATTTACATTTTTATTTATATTTTTTTGTCCCCCCTCCCTGCTTGATACATGGCCAGGGAGTGGGGCTCTCCTTCCCTGGTGGTCCAGTGGCATGGGCTGTGTAGGAGGGGGGCTGGCAGGAAGCTGTTCCTTCTCCTCCTTTCCGGTCAGCTCCCTTATCCTCCACTGTAAGTCTCGCAAGACTTACAGTGGAGGAGAAGGGAGCTGACCGGAACGGAGGTGAAGGGAGCTGACAGGAGCTGCAGGAAAGGTAAGTTACAGCTCGCTGCCGGCCCCCAAAAGGACCGCTGGGCTTGTAATGAGCCTGGCGGTCCATGTCTGTATTATGGCAATGTAAGTTGCCATAATACAGACACTGACTCGAGTAGAAGACGAGTGGGGGGTTTTCAGCACAAAAAAATGTGCCGAAAAACTTGTATTATACTCGAGTATATACGGTATATAGGAAGCAAAAACCAGAAAGGTTATAGTGGGGAAAATTTTTTATTCAAAACCCCTTCCACCTAGTATTTAGAGGGCTGATATTTGCCTATTATTATCATCATCCTAGTTCTATTTGAATTTAGGAAGCTCAAAATTTGGGCAGGACAGTCTGTGGGCCTCAATCTGTTATGTTAAAGCTTTAGGTTATAGAGAACTGACATTTGCCTCCTGTAACCGAAGTGAGGGTAGAAGCATCAATCTCTACTTTCTGGAGGTGCTAAGAATTCACACAGTGTTTTTCAAAAATACATTTTGAATTATTACAAAACCAGGTGCTCCCTACGAACTCAGAGATCGTTTGGGAGCAGAGCTGAGCTATGGCAGGTGGACTGGGTTCTTGGCTTACAAGAAAGCTACCTGACAGAGGCCAGGACCCATCATGTTTCCTGAGATGGCAGTAGTCATTTGTGCTGAAATTTATAATGTAAAAAGTACCTTGCAGGGTCTTCCACTTTCTATAGCAGCACAGTATTTACCAGGAAGGTAGACGGGTAGCTACTATATGCAGACCGCATGAGCAGGCAGCAGTCTTGTCAAGTACCTGCCCTTTCGTGGCAAGTAGTTCTGCATCCGCTACAAGTAACCAAACACGCTGCTATTTCACTTTGTGGCCTTGTAGCTCACAGGGATTCTGTGATTGCTATTGCTGTGTGATCATTTTTTGCTGATAGCCCTTCTGCAATTCCCTATGCACTTATTCTCCCATGCCCACACAACCCATTATTATCTCTCAATAACTCACACCAAACTCCCCAATCAACCTATTAACCTATTATGCCTTCCTGCCAACCAGGCCTCTTTATGCCTAACAAGTCATGTTCATGCCATCTTCTATGCTCATCTAGTCACACGTACCCAACTTGTCACATACCCCACCTCCAATCCTTTGCATAGAGAAGTGGTAACAATAACCCTCTTTGCTCACCCATGGGTGAGAATAATCTCACTGCAGACTTCTGTATTTTGTCTTGGGTAAAGCAAATAAAACAAAATATACTCCTTGCATGTTAAATTCATATATGAAGTCCATTAAATGTAAGTTAAATTAATACTTGTTATTGCCAAGTTAAATGAGTTTGTGAGTTTTATAAAGCACGTTGTCACGTAATGATTTACTGAGAGCTATTTTACTCTCATAGAACATATATCTGAATCCCTGGTAGAAAATGTGATCATGATCAATGGATAATCGCAAGGAATGTAACGCTTTTCTGAGAAAACATAATTCTTTTTTTTAGGCTATAGTCAGTCACCTGTTGAGAAAATGGATGTTCACATTCTGGGGAAAAAGACAAGTTTTCTTGCATTGACTGTAAACAAGGATACATTCAATGGCTTGCTTATCATTTCCCTGGATCATTGTTAGTGAATACAATTGTCGATATCTGTGTGGGTTCCAAGCCATCTGATTATTGCTGTTAGCACATTAGGGTGGGGCTAACTCTCAGCTTGTCACTATGTTTTGTTTCATGGTCTGTACAGTTTTAGTCTCTCTCTCTCCTGTCCAAATTGACATTTCCTGTCACATATATATATATATTTTTTTCAGGAAAATAACAAAGGAAAAGCACATATCAGTTTTGGATTAGTATCAAATGTTTAATTTAGATTATTTCTGTCAGTTTATGTCAAAGTGGAATCACTGTTTGTCATGTGCTCTCAGCAAATTCAATGATGTCATTATTTTTCTGACAAGTATGAACTTGAGACTGAAATCAGTGCCACATGTACTAATACTCTCCTAAATGATGGTATTTATCAGCTTTTATTTAGATTTATCATTTTTTGCTTAGAATTCTATTTTGCAATGTGTACCTGATCTACTATTCCAGCTTAGATGTAATTTGTACATTTGTAAAATAAAAAACTACTTATAATTGAAATTCACCCGTTTTAAAATTTAACATAGAAAACCAGAAGTAATGATAGAAGCCAATTAATACCTCCAATGCACACCTGTTTTAAATGATTATGTTAATTTTATACCTATATAAACAAACACCAAGCACTTTAAAACCACACTTCTGATGAAACCCCAGGGTGAAACGCGTAAAGTGTGGATCTAGCACCTATGTGGATTGCTTTATAGAATATACTTTTATTTATTTATTTGTGTATCCTACATAAAGTTAATCTTTTTAAATTGTATTTATTTTGAAAAATTTTGGGGATTATACCCTGCATCTTTTCTTGGCTTCCTATCTACATATGTCCCAGGTAGGCATTATACCACCGAAGCATTGCAACAGCAGAGCAGGCTCATGCTCTACCTCATGTGAGTAGGTTATTTATACCTTTTCTGCACAGTTATTTTACCGTACTGGCTGCACCATTGGATATTCTCCTGTTTGTCTTTTTATTCATGTGATGTGCTGGAAACACCTACCACTAAGTCTGCTGACCATATATCCCAAGACAGGGATTGTACCATCAACACTTTATACAGCAGAGCTCTTAGAAGCTCTTGAAAGTGTGAGCATGCCTTTGACGTAATATTATATCTCACTCTCCTGTTATTTGATATATTGCACTATTATTCTTTTCGTTCTCTGTTTTCTTGAGATTCTCTAAAACTGTATAAATCCGAACAGAAGATTCTATCAACATATGTATGTATATGTAGCTGTTATGTGATTTCACAGAAGGGCTATTATCATTTTAGGCGCGGTTATCTATACCTTGTTTGTCTTTTCTTATTTGTTCACAAGGTTTTGGGGAATCCTTGTAAAGATTGCCTACTGCCTGTTAATTTAAGCATATAGTGAGCACTAGTGATGTCCCGAACGGTTCACCGAACGGTTCGCCGCGGACGGCGAACATATGCGCTGTTCGGTCCGCCCCTATGTCATCATTGAGTAAACTTTGACCCTGTACCTCACAGTCAGCAGACACATTCCAGCCAATCAGCAGCAGACCCTCCCTCCCAGACCCTCCCACCTCCTGAACAGCATCCATTTTACATTCATTGTGAAGCTGCATTCTTAGTGAGCTGTCCAGGAGGTGGTAGGGTCTGGGAGGGAGGGTCTACTGCTGATTGGCTGGAATGTGTCTGCTGACTGTGAGGTACAGGGTCAAAGTTTACTCAATGATGACATAGGGGGCGGACCAAACAGCGCATATGTTCGCCGTCCGCGGTGAACCGTTCGGCGAACCGTTCAGGACATCACTAGTGAGCACCTTTCGCTGGTATTTAGTTTAAAACTGTGTCCAAAATATTTGAACCTATATAAAAAATACAAGTGTTGGGGTTGGCAGGTAGAAAAAAATATATTAAATCTAATAAAAAAAAAAAACGAAAATAGAAAATGTTAATGTATAAATTGGAAATATCACTTTATTTTGTGGTCCTTGAGTAGGGCTCCTCAAGTCCCCTCACATGTAATAGAAATAAACTTTTATTTTGTGGCTTCTTCCAAGCCACAATAGGTAGGCCCAGAAACATTTCCACACGGCAATGACTCTAATATCTGAGCCATCAGGCTGTGAGGCTATGATAAGAATGTATAATGTGTTTGCAAGTGACTGCGTGGTGAGATATGTGCTCATGACATTCATAACATGAAGCAGTTGTCATTGGTGGCATCTTTAATGTCACACCTCACAACTCCCATATAATAAAGGAAACAGTAGGGATGGCACTCACCAATGTGTATTTATAGTTTGAATAATTGACAATATGCACAAATCTTCAATATCCTGAATTTGCAAATCATGTCCTGTATGTTGAGTATTGGGTATTTTTCACTGTAAGAAAAACCAGGGATGTGGCAGTGTTAAGTGAAAGTATAACGTTATTTAAGAATATTAGCACCAAAAAGCAAGCCTGGGAAGATTGAATAACCTTTCAAAGAGTACAGTATGAATATATGTTATACAAATCAATGGAAGCCACACTCCCAATATGATAGCACTGTAGCTAGGCCATATAGCTGCAACAAACCTCTCTATTTATGAATATAATGAAGGAATTCTGATACAGAGAGCTGTGTGCCCCAATAATTTAAACAAGGAGTACAAGTAAGTGTTTGTCATTTTTGGAGTCTACCTAAAATAAATGCAGTATACGCACATATATATATATATCTCAGGAATTTACATTATAAGGATGCACCCAAAACCGTGACCCAGGGAGATTTTGTTAAAACAATATTCTTCTAAACATATCCATTAATCAATATATGGTGGACGGTGGATTTTTAATCATTGTGCCTAGTTCATTTAGTTCAGTTTATTTTATAATTTTCCATAAAAATAAGTATTAATGGAATCTTATTTAACTCTGTACAGAACACAATTTTGACAGGTAATATTAAAATCATAGAATTAAGTAATATTTTTGTAATTATTATACAATTAAAAGCTTGAAGGAGCTCAAGTTATTTAGGATTTCTCCTGTTAATTACTAAATTAGCCCCCTATAGGTGAAATCCAAGGCACTAAAAGTGATTAGAAAGCATTACAGGGCCCTATTACCTTGTCACAGAGGGATAAAAGGTACATTTTGGCAGATCTATCTGTCAGTCACTCTGGTGTGGCACCTTAGGGATTCCAAGGTGTCTTTTAAGATCATGGTGTTGACATATTTTAGAAAGTTGCTATACTTTTTAAAAGATATTAAATAAGCAGAACATATTAGACATTGAAATGTGAAATGTTAAACCCATATCTTGTTACTTAGTCAGTTGAGTAGACATTCAGACTTGTGGTCATTAACTCCCTTTCTAATGTGTGACTTATTTATTATGTTATGCATTCCTGTGTCTACCTTTGCTGAGTTCAGTCATATTTCCTGAAAGTAATTTATTATAGTAATTCAAGATATTTATAATGATGGTAACAATAAACAATATTTTCATTGCATGATTATTTTTTATTGAAATATGTTATTCATTTAAATTTCTGTAACATGTCACTTCATTTTCACACAACAAAACATTTATTTTATGATATTTAAATGCTCACACCTTGTATCTGTGGCGTTGAACTCTAATGGGCTACTATATTGTTTGTTTATTTTTTTAAGAATATATTAACTTTAGATTAGATCACAAGTTCTTATCACTTCTGATGGGGATCAACAGATAGCTCTGTGACCTATTCATCACTTAATTACAGTATATATATATATATATATATATATATATAATGGAAATTATGTTACTACTGCTACTGTAAATTATTAGTAGTTATGTTAGTAGTAGGATCTTACTTTTTCCAGACATTTATATCACCTGATTTTTTTTCCAGCTGTATATCAGATGAGTAGAGCAGATGTAGCATCACTGCCTTAAAACTGGGAAAGCCAGGTTTGAATCTTGGTCTGATCACCTCACCAATAAGTGTCCTTGGCCAAGATGCCCAACTATACATATATTCGCCTACCTCAAATTCTCTAGTAAGGACCTTCTTCACCTCTAAATATCCCCTTTCAATAATTGTTAAACACGGCAGAATATGTTGGTGCCATATTATTATTATTTTATTATTTATATAGCGCCAGCAAAATTCCGTAGCGCTGTACAATGGGATTAATGCTAGTCTTATCTATTGTGGGCACGTTTTAGCTTGCTTTCTTCACCCCTAAATATCAACCTTCCTATAAGGCACTATATAAATAATAATGATCTTGTCCTGTGCAATTTTTAGTTAAAACCTCTATCATTAGGGTTTGTGTGCATTTTGCTTTATTAGCAGTTAATTGAAAATATTTTTCACAAGAGTATTGTGTCCTAAAATGTATTCTCTCTCCATTATATTTATTTATTTTTAGGGTCGAGAACCCATCAAGTTGAATGATCTGAAGTCTGAGGTTTCCCCTCGTATCTCCGCAGAGGATCTCATTGACCTGTGTGAATTAACAGTTTCCAGTCATCTCAAAGCATCTGCCAAGAAGAGCAAGTCTAGCAAACCCAAGCTGCTTGTGGTGGACATTCGAAACAGCGAGGAGTATCCTTTTTATAGACCTCAAATACGTATGTATCGCAATACTCCTATATGCACTCATCACATCTAACAGTCCATTTAGATAGCTTATGCATTAGTGTATTATGTTGCATGTCCACTCTATTATTGTTTTATGATAGCATTATAGAAGATCCCAGTAGATGTTAGCTCTTGATAAGTTCCCTTTGTGTGTCTAAATTAGGTTGAGGTTCATGTTTTATCTATCATGAATTCATGAACTGGTTTATTTTAACTTTGTTGATCCCTTTAACTTTGGCCTCAATTAAATTATATTGACCTATAACTTTTTCAAGCAGCTGAATCCGATAAATGGGCAACTTGAGCACAAAACCACTGATAAATGTACATCAGAAGCACATTGTTATTGTCCTAACACGTGATTAATCAAATACAGAGGCATTTGACACAAGTCCTCCCTTGCCACCAGGTTTGGGCATTAGGTGGACTCTTTAAATTAAATAATGGGGCGTGGCTAGTGACGTTTGGGCACTAATTGAAATAAATGAGGGGGCCCAGTGTCTCCCCCTCCCTTGTGTGGCAGGTGGGAGCACTTATTTTAATAATAAGAGAAAAACCTAATGCCCTCCCAGACCCCACCCATTAGCAGCAGATGCAGGTGGTATTAATTTAGTGATAGCCAGGGGGCACATAATGTCCCTTCTCTGTCGGCCATGCATTGTTGGTTGGTAGGGGCTATGTAATAATTAGTTGGAGGAACCTGATGTCACACCCATGGCCGGTGTGTGGTTGCTATTAATATGATAAAGGGGAGGGGTGAACATACTATTTCCCACTGCCCCCAAATTACCAAGCTGCTAGCCTGTAATATATATATATATATATATTTATAAAAAGATTTAAGAAGAAAACCTCTGATAGTAAGAAGATTTATATGTATATAGCATTTTTATTGGTTAACCGCCTACGAATCTGAACAACAACAATATTGTCAATCATCCTTATTGCTTGGCCATCTAGTTACTCGATAGAGCTATATAAAAAGGAAACTGGGGACAATAAATTTCAATTACTTCACAGTCCAAACCAATTAATCAATATTAATAAATAAACGGTATAATATATCAATCAGTAAATAATTTCTAATTTACCCAAATGTTATTTGATATAATCTGTTTGGATTGTAAAGAAGGTGTCTCTTGGATGTGACACAGCAGAGTAAACAATGAAAATGTACAGGGTAACACTGGGATACCATGTTGAGAATATTATTTATACCATATTGAGAATAACATTTATAGTTTGTTTATCCCCATAACAACTCAATGTTTCCTTACTTTTTGAATCAACTGCTAAGATTTGCACTCGATTGTTGCAATAACCAACTGAGTCTTTAAACTCATACCTTTCAGTTTAGGCTTAAATATGATTTGGCATGCTAGCTTATATGGTTTACATTTATTACAATCACATTTAAGTTCACACCAATGGCATGGTTGATGTTTACCTGTCCCCGTATTTTCAGCTGGACTTGATCTGTTCTATAAAGACTTATGTCAATATATTATAATCTGATCCATTTTTATTCTAAATAGCATTTTTGCAGTGTTATAGTTTATTGGTTTTAATTATCCTGGGTTATAGAAGGAACAGTTGCATTGTTACTGTAAGTAACACCTATACCACTTTAAACAACATTTCATGTTTATTGTAATGCGTTATTCATAGTTGGTGGTCTGTGGTTTGCCACCACATTCTGTGCGGTGGGAATGTGAGGAATAGCTTGATCCACTTTTATTTATTGTAAACCTATTCTTCAACAGAAAGAGCATATGCCTATTTCATTTCTCACGTACATTCATTTAATGCCCTTTTATAACATATTAGGATCTGTGCTGTTTTATCCAGTAAAATCTTAATTTCTCCATCTCAAGCAGCAGGAGAAGAGAAATTAAATTTCAAAACTGTTTTAGCACTCTGGGAACTATGGAATGCAATTCTACCGCTTTGAAGCCAGAGGATTCTCATAAACACCACATAATCCTGGAAGCCTAAGTCATAACTTTATGTATAGCAGACATTTTTTGAAGCAAAATGGAAAACACTGAAAGTTGCGAAGGAGATGAAAAGTAGGAGCTATAACAGAACAAAACAAATGATTCTGTTTTTCATTTTCCCTTTTAAATAAACGTGTCTGCCTTAGCTAATTGTAATATATTCTAAACACTGCTCCTAATGCGAATGATTGTCTCTTTAACCATATTTACATACTTAATCATTGACCTACACAATCCTTTTAAACGTCACATGTGCAGTTGCGAATCTAGGTACAATATTTAGGAGGGGGCACATACAGTGAGGGAAATAAGTATTTGATCCCCTGCTGATTTTGAACGTTTGCTCACTGACAAATTATCAGTCTATATTTTTAGGTGTATTTTAACAGTGAGAGACAGAATAACAAACAAGAATCCAGAAAAACACATGTAAAAAAAGTTATAAATTGATTTGCATGTCAATGAGTGAAATAAGTATTTGACCCCTTCAACTTAGTACTTGGTTGAAAAATCCTTGTTGGCAATCACAAAGGTCAGACATTTCTTGTAGTTGGCCACCAGGTTTGCACACATCTCAGGAGGGATTTTGTCCCACTCCTCTTTGCAGATCCTCTCATAGTCATTAAGGTTTCAAGGCTGACGTTTGGCAACTCGAAACTTCAGCTCCCTCCACAGATTTTCTATGGGATTAAGGTCTGGATTAAGGTCACTCCAGGAGCTTAATGTGCTTCTTCTTGAGCCACTCTTTTGTTGCCTTGGCTGTGTGTTTTGGGTCATTGTCATGCTGGAATACCCATCCATGACCCATTTTCAATGCCCTGGCTGAGGGAAGGAGGTTCTCACCAAAGATTTGATGGTACATGGCCCAGTCCATCATCCCTTTGATGTGGTGCAGTTGTCCTGTCCCCTTAGCGGAAAAACAGCCCCAAAGCATAATATTTCCACCTCCATGTTTGACGGTGGGGATGGTGTTCTTGGGTCATAAGAAGCATTCCTCCTCCTCCAAATACGGCAAGTTGAGTTGATGCCAAAGAGCTCGATTTTGATTTTGACGGGCCTGTACATGTGCTTTCTTGAGCTGGGGGACTTTGCAGGTGCTGCAGGATTTCAGTCCTTAACGGTGTAGTGTGTTATCAATTGTTTTCTTGGTGACTATGGTCCCAGCTGCCTTGAGATCGTTAACAAGATCCTCCCGTGTAGTTCTGGCAGACTCTTGCATGGAGCACCAGACCGAGGGAGGCTGACAGTTATTTTGTGTTTCTTCCATTTGAGAATAATCGCACCAACTTTTTTTTTTTTGTTATTCGGTCTCTCACTGTTAAAATACACCTACTATTAAAATTATAGACTGGTCATTTCTTTGCAAGTGGGCGAAAGTTCAAAATCAGCAGGGAATCAAATACATTTTCCCCTCACTGTAAGATGCCAAAGTCAAAACTGGGGGGCACTAATAATTTTTGCCACTTAATCATACCACAGGGAAAAAAATATATATTTACATTTACGCTCAAACATATTCATAGGAGGCAAGTGCCTCTTCATATCTATAGTTTACAAATCATAGTAAAAATTGTACTGTGGGGTTTATTTAAAGAGCGCCAGTGTTTTGAAGTTGCAAACAATGGTGAAAATCGGAAAGTTTTTCCTGCTGGTGTTTGGATTTCTCTTTTGTGAAATGCCAAAGTTTGATGCCATTGCACCAGTATAACCCAGATGTGCCATGTTTAAGGGATTTGTTATACACCAGAACAACTTCAGCTTACTAGAGTGGTTATAGACAAAGTGACACAGTGTCCTTGGAGACTGTTAATCATCGTTTAAGAGTTATGCTTCCTGCTATCAGTCCAAATATTTCTTCTGTAATAATGTTTTAGTTATGTGCAGGTACTTCCTAAAAAGCAATCCAGGAAGCATTATAATGAAGATAGGTGCCTTAGTGGATGCAAACGGTAATAAGGGCTGTAGTGGGTGCAGAGAAGATAGGTGCTGTAGTGGGTGCTGAGAGTAATAAGGGCTGTAGTAGGTGCGATGAAGATAGGTGCTTTAGTTGGTGCAGAGGGTAATAAGGGCTGTAGTAGGTGCAATGAAGATAGGTGCTGTAGTGGGTGCAGAGTATAATAAGGACTGTATGAGGTGGGATGAAGATAGGTGCTTTAGTTGGTGCAGAGGATAATAAGGACTGTAGTAGGTGCGATGAAGATAGGTGCTTGAGTTGGTGCAGAGGGTAATAAGGACTGTAGTAGGTGGGGTGAAGACATGTGCTGTAGTGGGTGCAGAGTATAATAAGGACTGTAGTAGCTGGGATGAAAATAGGTGCTGAAGTGGGTGCAGAGTATAATAAGGACTGCAGTAGGTGCGATGAAGATAGGTGCTGTAGTGAGTGCGGAGGGTAATAAGGGCTGTAGTAGGTGCAATGAAGATAGGTGCTGTAGTGGGTGCAGAGTATAATAAGGACTGTAGTAGGTGGGATGAAGATAGGTGCTTTAGTTGGTGCAGAGGATAATAAGGACTGTAGTAGTGCGATGAAGATAGGTGCTTGAGTTGGTGCAGGGGGTAATAAGGACTGTAGTAGGTGGGGTGAAGATAGGTGCTGAAGTCGGTGCAGAGTATAATAAGGACTGCAGTAGGTGCGATGAAGATAGGTGCTGTAGTGGGTGCAGAGGGTAATAAGGGCTGTGCAGGGGGATAGGGGATTACTTGGTGCAGAGGGAGGTATAGGGCTGTAATGGGTGCAGGGTGTAAAAAGGCTGTAGTGAGTGTAGATGGGATACAGTCTGTGGTGGGATAAGGGCTGTAATTGGGAGGTACTGGCTGTTATGGATATAGGGTCAGTAGTGGAGGGATAGGGGCTGTGGTGGGGCAGTAGTTGGGAGGTAGGATCATGTGGGATAGGGGCAATATATCTCAAAATCAATTTAAAAAAAAAATAGTTTATCCCACATTCCTGTGGCTTACCTTTGACCGGTGGGTATCCTGATCTCTGGTGGTCCAGTGGGAAAATCTGTTAAAGGACCACTCTAGGCACCCAGACCACTTCAGCTTAATGAAGTGGTCTGGGTGCCAGGTCCTTCTAGGGTTAACCCATTTTTTTATAAACACAGCAATTTCAGAGAAACTGCTATGTTTATGAATGGGTTAAGCCTTCCCCCTAATCCTCTAGTGGCTGTCTCATTGACAGCCACTAGAGGCGCTTGCATGCTTCTCACTGTGATTTTCACAGTGAGAGCACGCAAGCGTCCATAGGAAAGCATTATGAATGCTTTCCTATGCGACGGGCTGAATGCGCGCGCAGCTCTTGCCGCGCGTGCGCATTCAGCCGGCGGGGAGGAACGGAGGAGGAGAGAAGGAGGAGAGCTCCCCGCCCAGCGCTGGAAAAAGGTAAGTTTTTAACCCTTTCCCCCTTCCAGAGCCGGGCGGGAGGGGGTCCCTGAGGGTGGGGGCACCCTCAGGGCACTATAGTGCCAGGAAAACGAGTATGTTTTCCTGGCACTATAGTGGTCCTTTAAGAAAGAATGGGTTTTGTGCGAAACTCTAGTGGAGCACTAGTGACTATGGAAAGTAGTGATGTGCCGAACGGTTTGCGAACAGTTCGCCACGAACGGTTCGCCGCGGACTCATCAACAGACACAGTCAGCAGACACATTCCAGCCAATCAGCAGCAGACCCTCCCTCCCAGACCCTCCCACCTCCTGGACAGCATCCATTGTGAAGCTGCATTCTTATTGAGCTGTCCAGGAGGTGGGAGGATCTGGGAGGGAGGGTCTGCTGCTGATTGGCTGGAATGTGTCTGCTGACTGTGAGGTACAGGGTCAAAGTTTACTCAATGATGAGTCCGCGGCGAACAGTTCGGTACATCACTAATGGAAACATATGGAATTTACTTTCTGCTTGCTATGCTTTTACAACTGATCTTTATATATTACCCCATTGTGTTTTGTTTTACTAACTAATATGCTGATGACAATTGAGATTTCTGCTAGTTTCCTTTGCATGGAAATGTCTAAGTTGTGCTTATGTCCCTTGTTCGTACCTGTGCATTACAGAAGGGGAGAGAATACGTTTTATTAGTATTTTTTTGTTTATAATTTTGAAATGCTTTATACAACTTGTAAGTAATGTAAAGTATATCAAATCTTTATTTGCATCAGTTGCCCATTAAAGCAAGAGTTAATAATTTCTTTAATTGCCTACATATCTAACATGGTACCCTTCACTACTTATGTTGTTAAAATAAAGCACTATGGTAAAGGGCCAAAATTATGTCTTTTATGGCACAAGAAATCCCCTTTAACATGTTCCAAAGATCTGATTGGAACATTATTTAATATGGTTGTGAGCGATCTCATTGTTAGCTTGTTAGAGTACATACATTGAAAATAGTCACGGACACAAAGCAGGGCTTTGTTTAAAGAAGTTAAAGAATTTGGCATTGATGCTTACAATGTATATTAGAAAAACAAGAATCCTTTCATTCTGCCGACTACTGCAAATGCTGATATTCATAAAGAAGCAAACGGATATTTAATCACAGTGGTTACAACAAGGCAGTCGTTTTTCTCACAATTGTTATTTTTTCTTCATTTCTTTTTTTAAAAGTAACACTCTAATATTTTATATATATATATATATATATGTACGTGCATTTTTATTTTTTACTTTTTTCCAAGTCTGATGTGTTCATTTACTAAAATTACTAAATTAAATTAATTTATTAAATTAAATCAACTGGCCCCCATTCAACAACAACCAAAAAAAAAACAGTTTAAAACATTATCAGTATTCCAGCGCCATGACTGCTTACTCACTGAAGTAATCAAGCTTGATGACTTTTGTCCAATCAAATGCTTCTCTTAAAGAAGCATTGAGAACACTTGAAGCATGAGTGGCAGTCTTAGCAATCTGCCAATCCAGTTCTTCTTTATCTGTGATTGACAGCCACTAGACTAGGCTTGTGAATTTACAATCTAAAGATTGCTGGTTTCTCTTCCAGTTTGCAGTTGCTAGATTGATCACTGGTCAATAGTCAAGATACATGTATTGAAGTTTGAAAAAACAAAATGAGGAGTTAAGCAATGGATACTAATACAAATTCTGACTAAGTCTTAGGTGACCTTTTCAATGAAAGGCCTTGACTTGAAGGACCTTTAATTAAGCATCATAACTTTAAAACAGGACAGATTGGAATAACAATAAAAAACTTTACATGCAAACAGAATTTAATAGTTTGCTATGCCAAAACCAGAATTTAAAAAAAAAAATGTCACGTGCTTTTTCTGTCTCAAAGTTTGTGAGCATGCATTCCTGTGCAGACAGCCATGAGAACCGGCTTTACAATTTGCTAGATCCATGATTAAAGGGATTCTCCAGTGCCAGGAAAACAAATCACTCCCCGGCACTAGAGGATCCTGGAGTTAAAACCCCTTCAGCTACTTACCTGAATCCAGCGCCAATGTCCCTCGGGACTGTGTCAGGCTCCGCCCACGCTCTTCCCCTGCTATGGGGGAAATCTGACGCTGGAGGTCCGTGAGGACTTCCAGCGTCAGATAACGGACCAAAAGTCTGTTACGAATCCTGAAGTGCCCCCAGTGGCTGTGGAGTTGGAGCTGCAATGTAAACATTTCAGTTCTCTGGAACTGCAATGTTTAACATTGCAGCACTAAGTGCACAAAGGTTACAGCACCCAGACTACTTCAATTAGCTGAAGTGGTTTGGGTGCCTACAGTGTCCCTTTAAGATGTATACTACCTAGTTTGTGATACAGTAGCAAGTGTATTTTATAATGAACTGCACAACAATTCAATTTAATAGGGTTTACTGGGATAAATCATTAAATAACCACTAAAGGCACCCAGATCACTTCAGCTCAATGAAGCGGTCTGGGTGCCAGTTCCCCCTAGTTTTAACCCTGCAGCTGAAAACATAGCAGTTTCAGAGAAACTGCTATGTTTACACTGCAAGGTTAATCCAGCCTCTAGTGGCTGTCTCTTTGACAGCCACTAGAGGCGCTTCTGTGATTTACACTATTTGCGAGTAAATCGCACTTATCTGATGCTGGTTTTAACCCCTTCAGCGCCGAGGGAGGGGGGCACTCCAATTGTCTATAGTGCCAGGAAAACGGGTTTGTTTCCTGGCACTATAGGATCCCTTTAAGGAGACACAGACAAATTCCACAGCTCCTCTGGACTAATCATTATGTTTTTCAGTGGTTTTCAGTAGAAGCTGAGTATCAAGCAAACGGATGGGCTTCATAGAATCATACTTAATTTTAATTCCTGGGGAATCCAGCACTAAGCCTAGAGCATGCAAACTATTATTAAAATAGTTTTGCCATCAAGAAAGCCATCGCGTTATGAATATTTGATCAAAAATGTTGATGGTGTATTCAGAATAATGATGCTACAAAACATGTAAAATAAAATACATTAATCTAGAAGAGTGAGTGATCTGTATTCTAAAGGAACTGGGTTAACTAGCCTAAAGAAAAAACTTTCAGCTATGTGGCTTAGAACACCCGAGGATAATAAGTAAAGTGAGATATAATACATCAAAATGATTAGATTTATCTGTTCCTTTGCTCTAAATGCAGGTCTCGGCTTGCAAACTGCATCAGGAAGAGACTGAGAATTTTTTCTAGGATACCATGTAATTTTGTTTAAAATTGAAAAAACACGCTTCGTGTGTCTTGCAAATTGTTGTAGCTTGCCTCGACTTGTAAAAGGCACAACCAGTTTACCTGATTCTCAAGGAGACTATTAAACAAAACCATCTGACTAATATAGCCTCAGGGTTACAAATGTAACAAACTCTGCAAAGGGCTATTGGAATGTCTGCCAGAGTTTTAAAGGTGATGATGAGCAGACACCAGATCCTAGCATTCCACTCTGTATTCTCCAGATCATTTTCTTTAACTGCTTAAACATTTAAACTGTGCTAATTGCAGACACTTTATGAATCAGCCAATGCTATTACATTCGAAAACTCTACAGGTTCTTATCTTTCAACATATATATTTTACCAAGAAATTCCAACTTGTAGTATATTACAAAAGATTTATAATATTAGATAATGCACTACTACAGATCATCATGACTTTTGCAATCCTGTAGAGGTCACACTCAAAACAGTGAATTAAAACGTTAATATTTCTTTTTTTACACAGTGCTTATAACGTTCTATTTTATCATAAGATTTTATTATTCATTTATTTGATTTAATAGCATTGTATAAGCTTTCCAAATAATGTAATATTTGTGGATTACCGTTAAAAATGGTTTAATATTATGAATCATATTTTAATTTTGTGATAGTTTAATATATTTTTTCATATAGATATTTTTATACATGATATATTTTTTTATTTTCATATTTTGAAAAATATCATTTTAAACGTTTATCCAAAAATATTGAATCATTTGAAAAGCTTATCCCAAAATATTAAAATGGAGGCCAATCTTGGGAAAACTTGAGTGGATGTTGGAGTAGTCTTTATACTTTTTAGTTTCTTGGTACACAAAAAAGTGTTGCTAATGTAATGTAGATTTAAGCAGGAATTTAGAGTTTGGGTATCTTTTCTGGTTAAAGTCTCAGAATGCTGCACAGTGGTGAATTTATTTATTACTGGCATTAAAAAAGCACCAACATATTCCACAGCGCTGTACAATTAGGAAAAAGACAAACACGATAAGAACAGACTGATACAACAAGCAAAGGACCCTGCTCGTGAGTTTATAATCTAAAGGTTAAAATGGGGAGATGAGACAGGAGATAGCAGAGGAATTTTAATGTGATGGTAAAGAAAATTAATACTATAACTGCAGCAGCTGATAACATGCAAATGGCATGAGGTGGTGATTGACTGTGGTTCCAAATAGCTGAAAGTAATGCTATATAGTTAGAAGGAACCAGGGTGGGCTGGAGGAGGGAAGGTAGAGGTGAGTAAAATTAAATGGCCTTTTTGTTGCAGGAATGGATGTGGGTTTGGGCCTAAGGAAGAGAGCTAAGACAGTTACATAAATAATGAGATTATAAATACAACAAGTATATGCAGTGTTATTTTTTTTTTGATAGCTCTCTAAATGAAATAGTTCTCATACATAATGTGATGCAATGAATACATCAATGCACATGATGAACTGGCAGTAACATGCTTCATTGTGTATTTTTCCACTCTTGCATGTGTATGCATTACTATCTAAACTGTGAAACAAGGGAACATGCCTTCTTTTCTAACTGCTATGAAGTGATTATTAAGGCAGTTACTTAGCAGTGGGACCACAGCCATTAAAAACTAGAGCTGCTTGACTGTTCCGGATAAATGCACCCTCATTCGGAAACACAGATAGTGTGAGTTGGGAGATAACGTTTGTACCTTTCAAGGAAACAGCAGATGATTTTTTTTTTCCTCTCCACTACCCACCTATGAGTTCATTCCACACCTTTAATCAGACGCACAATGAGAGATACAGGAAAAGGAACAATCTCTGTGTCCAAGCGGCAGTAACTTAATACATTCAGTGACTTGAATCAACCCAGCCCTTTTATACTCTCAGCTAAGATTCACAAACATTAAATCTATTATTGTCATCTGGTAGCATAATATTTTATTTTTAACTGTTTAAAAAGCAAAGGTCTCTTAGTTTTTGAAAGTTTAATGCCTAAACATTTGTTTGCCTTTTTCTATATTACAGCAAATAAATAAATATGTTATACACATCTTGTCTCATTGGCATGGAAAACACATAAGCACCATTGCCGCAATGTTGTTTATTACTTGTAACACTGTAGTGTAATCCTGCTTGAATGGATGGCTGGAACATTGATCTTTTTTACAGTAGAGAACAAAACATATTAATATTTGATTGCCACGTGTTTCCTTTAAATGTATAATGTTTGAATGTACCATACGTGAGAGAAATCCAAATGCATTCTTCATGGTTAAAAGAAATGTTGTATCTAAATTTGTTATAGTGAGATATAGTTGCAATCATACATTCATAATTATAAATGAAGGAATGATCATACTGTTAACGAAGATGGAGAGTAATGATAATAGCCTATGATAGATCTGTATAGTAAATCTGTTCAAGATGAGGTGAATAGGAAGGGGATATAGTCGTACTGTGTACTTTAATTAGTGGATTGGAAGGTAAACTATACGCAATACAGAAATTTAGCCATAGTGAGTGCATGGATTCCTATATGAGAAGGGTGGACAAATACTGTCACAGTATGTGCAGCAGTCCATAGATGAAACATATAATGACACAATGGGGATACATGGATTTATTGTATACTTTGCATGGTGGATAAGATTTATAGTAATAAATACATGATGAGTAGTTAGTGTTATATTGTATTGTTGGCGTATAAGAAGGATAATGACATAATTTGGGTGTATATAGTAATTCTATATGCAGCAGTTGGCTAAAAAAAATAATAATAATGGTACTACGGGAAATGTAGCGTACACATCAGTACGTCATACTGTGTATTTCAGCTGCAGACTTAGAATAATGCCAGCCATATGGCAGTACTGAATTCATAGTTTGGTGCATATAAACACAATGGAGAAATATAATGTTACCTGCATATATCAGTTGTTGGATGGGAATGAAACAATGGAGATATTCGGTACATTGTCTACCCTGAGTTAGGTGGTCAGGAGTGCATTCACTACAGACTGGCATGCCCTTTTATTGTGCAGACCCATCCTTTTCAGATGAGAACTCTCAGATTTTGGTCTTTGCCAGTTATGTAAGTGGCATCGCTAGCACACCCAACAAAGGCTTGCCTACCATTTGTCCCTGTTTCATACCCAAAAACCAGTGGCGTACCTACCACGGTCGCAGCTGCGACCGGGCCCCTCACTCCAGGGGGCCTGGCCGCAGCCACGATCCCTGCGACCGTGGGCCGCCTGGATACCTCCCGGGTGTCTGACAGGAGGGGAGAGCTGTGCTGGTCGAGCGGTCTGTCAGGAAGTGCTTACTATGAGAGCACTACCTGTCAGCCCGGGATGCTGTCCCGTGTTCCCCCCTGTCATGGGGGGACCCAAGAGGTGGCCTGCTGGCAACCTAATGGACCCACCCTGGCGGGAGGCTGTGTTCCCAGCAGAGTCGGCAAGGAAGCTGTGTTCTCCCTGCTCTGCTCCTTCGCACGTCGTTTGCTGATGCCGGGAGCTGGAATATGACGTCATATTCCAGCTCCCGGAATCAGTAGACGGCCTGCACAACACGAGGGAGCAGAGTAGGGAGATCACAGCTCCCTCGCTGTCTCTGCCGGGAACACAGCCACCCGCCGCGCTGAAGACCCACGGGACCCCAGGGACAGATCCACACCAGCTCTCCAGGTAGGGAGACTGGGTGGACATTTTTTTATTTAAAAAATATGTATAATTTGTGTGTGTCTGTGAGTGTATGTGTGTGTATGTGAGTGTGTGTATATAAGTGTGTGTCTTTACATGTCTGTGTGTGAGTCTGTATGTATGACTGTCTGTCTGAATGGGTCTCTGTGTATATGTGTATTTATGTGTATGTCTACATGTATGTGTCTGTGTATGTGTCTGCATGTGTATCTGTTTTTCTGCATGTGTGAGGGGGCAGGGACATATGGGGGGGGCCCAGGGCAATTTTTGCACCAGGGCCCTGTGGTTTCTAGTTACACCTCTGCCCAAAACACTTATATAAATCATAAATGCAATATTGAAATTAGCCCTAGTCATTATTCTAACATGCACTATAGTCCCTAATGTTATAAATATCCAGATTTAAAGTCACTCCTTATATCTAACCCTATGTTTAGCCCTAGCCGTAACCATACATTTCCTTCCTCCCCCTAACTCTAAATCTCATTGTAACTTTAGGTTCCTGAGAGATCAAATAACCGATCTATATGAGTAGCCGCTACCACAACATATTCAACACCATACCCTTCTAATGGCATTGAATTTGCCCAAACATGGAAAGTTTCAACCAATGCTATACAATGGAATATATTACCCTTTTGATTAAATGTGCCACAGTTCGCTGATCCCTGGTATATACATTCTCCTTTACATACATAATATTCACATTATGTTATATTTATTCAAAAAAAATGCTTTTTTACCTTTAATCAGGCTTGTTCTCCAATATGGGATTAACTTAAATATCCATGTCTACATGTCGTATTTGGAATTTAAATGAGTAGAAATTCTCGTGGCAGGGGGAACTTAGGAATTTTTTTTAAGACCTGCAGGTGTACTGCTTCCCTAAAAGGGTGAGAAACACTGTGTTACAGTATTTTGTTTTATTAGTATAGTGTACGTTACTTTCTATATTAGCAATCTTGGAGTGATACCATCTTTAAGCTTGACATATTTTAGAATTTTATATTGCTACACTGAAGGGCAACATTCCAAAAGAAATTGTTATAATGATAGTCTGGGAGGTCTGCCAAATGCATTGTCGGCACCTTAGTTATAGAAAGAACAGTAGCCTATTAGCAAAATGTTTATTGCAGTACTTGCAGTTGAGCAAATGTAGAATTTCTATGATTTTTGGTCTAATCCAAATTTGCATTTTATTTGGCACAGTTCTAAAATACCTCAGATCCTGATAAAACTGACTAGTTATCACTGTTCTGCAGCATACATTAATCTGTATGAAAGATTAAATTTACTTCTCATATTGCAGATGTGTTTTTTTTTTTTTTTTTTAATATTAACCTTCTATTTCAGTCTTAGTTGTTTCCTGGATTTGCGTCATTTAGAATTTGCTGTCCTATGGTAAAATTGGGTTGCATAAAAAAACCTCTAATACTCTGTTAACGCTTTGTTTAGCACAATGAATTTAAATCATGAATTATCCCATTTTTTTAAATTAAATGTACTGTTACTGTGATTCTATACTGTGATCATTTGGCCGCTTTGTCCATTTTGGATTTTTCATTCATAGTTGGAAAAGAGGAAAAATGTAAACATTAATTAAAAGTTAATTATTGTGTGCACTAATTAACACATCAGCCACTGTTTAATTTGGCTGATGTGTTAATTAGTGTAATACTTGTATTAGGTGCGGGTCCATGCTGTTGTCTTCTCTCGCTTTGACTACTGCAATCCGCTTCTCAGTGGTCCTACGTGTTCCCAACTTGCTCCGTTCCAGTCTATAATGAAGGCGGCGGCGAGGCTCATCTCCCTGTCTGCCCCCACCTCTCACGCCTCCCCTCTCCGTCAGTCCCTGCCCTACCCTTACCTTTTGTGTCAGTATACCCCACTCCCTCTTGCATGTAAGCTCATTGAGCAGGGCCCTTAATCCCTCTGTTCCTGTGTGTTCAACTCATCTGGTTAAAAATATATGTCTGTTAGTCCACCCATTGTACAGTGCTGCAGAATTTGTTGGCACTTCATAAATAATAATAATAATAGGTTACTTTTGTCTCTGGCACACGAACAGTTAATCTTTTCTAAGTTTAAGAACAAATCTATATCCTTTAATCATCCACTTCAGTGAACATGTTTGTATTAGCTGCCATGACAACGTGTTTCAAGTACTCCATCATGATCTATGCACAGTCGCCAGTTTTTACATCCAGAAGTAAAGTAGTTAACTGAGAAAACTATTATGTATTTACTTATACTAAACTGGAAGGGGGTATATTTGTAGAATAGAATATCTCTACTTTATTTTTGCTTTAAAGGTTTTCTCCAGCCAAAAAAAAGTGTTTTACTTCATATCCTCGTCACTTCTCAAACTTAAGAAAATGAAATAAAGCATAAACTGACCACTGTTTAAGCGCAGAGCCTCATTCCTCCATCTCTGACAACCCTCCCCTTGGATAGCAAGGGAGGGGTGCCACCAGTTTTTTTTATAGTGAAATTCTGCCCATAGAGACTTCAAATTACCAACGTTGTCATGGTGCTTAGAAAACCTTTAATCTTATTATGATATAGAGAACACTCATTCCTTAGAGGGTCTATCAGTCATGGTGCTAAATACAGTCTGTGTTATTATTTGCTCCCAATTGTAGGACTTTTAATGCAGCAGATGGCCACCCTATAATGAGAACAGTGCCGGATTGAGGTTCCTCCGTGCCGTTGGCAGAGCACCTGGCTCAGTGCCAGACTAGAGCAATGGGCTCTCTTTCTGTGAGTCGTGTGTGTGTGTCGTGGCTGAGTGTTGTGCATGCAAGAGTGAGTGGAGGAGGGTGAGAGTTGTATGAGGCAGGCTGAATGTATGTGTGCGACAGTTGTATGTGTAGTGACTGAATTGTGTGTGTGTGTCTGTCTAGGGGAAAACAAGAAAAGAGAGATTTTTCTTCCTTGTATATGGCATAGCAGAGCACTGTACATAGACACTAATGAGGAACAGAGTATGTACGCTTATAATTATAACGGTGGACTTTGTCAATTGTATGTATAGCCAGCCATACAATAGTAGCCTTCAAATGCAGTATTAAGGATCATTATGATAACTATGGGAGTGAAATGTGTTCATTTTCTAATGATATTCTATGAATTCAGTGTTCTAAAGTGTGTAAAGTGGACTGCAATTTAGTTCAGATTATATAGATGACCATAGTTACAGAAATTATTCTCCCACTCTTGTGAAAGCTCTGCTTAAAATGCTTCATTTACCCCATCGATATGCCTTATTGAAAATACATCCATTTTCCATGTGTTTTCAACATACAGTGTGAAATCCGTGTTCCAAATGAACAACCTGACCACACTGGGTAGAGAATTTCTGAACGTTGATGGTGAGCTTATGCGATGGATCTTCCCACTTGCATTAGAATAAGTCCCATAGACTGACAGCTAAGACTACACATAGACAGGTTACCATTTGTACACGTTTGTCTCATTAAATATTCTTCTAAAATACTTTGTTCTTTACATAGTTGAATGTGCGGACAAAATCACACAAAAATTATAAAATGGAAATCAAATTTTTCAACCCATGGAGGTCTGAATTTGGAGTCACACTCAAAATTAAAGTGGAAAAACACACTACAGGCTGATCAAACTTTGATGTAATGTCCTTAAAACAAGTCAAAATGAGGCTCAGTAGTGTGTGGCCTCCACGTGCCTGTATGACCTCCCTACAACGCCTGTGCATGGAGCGAGACATGATGTCCCAGATGTGCTCAATTGGATTCAGGTCTGGGGAATGGGTGGGCCAGTCCATAGCATCAATGCCTTCGTCTTGCAGGAACTGCTGACACACTCCAGCCACATGAGGTCTAGCATTGTCTTGCATTAGGAGCAACCCAGGGCCAACCGCACCAGCATATGGTCTCACAAGGGGTCTGAGGATCCCATCTCGGTACATAATGGCAGTCAGGCTACCTCTGGCGAGCACATGGAGGGCTGTGCGGCCCCCAAAGAAATGCCACCCCACACCATTACTGACCCACTGCCAAACCGGTCATGCTGGAGAATGTTGCAGGCAGCAGAACGTTCTCCTCGGTGTCTCCAGAATCTGTCACGTCTGTCACATGTGATCAGTGTGAACCTGCTTTCATCTGTGAAGAGCACAGGGCGCCAGTGGCGAATTTGCCAATCTTGGTGTTCTCTGGCAAATTTAAAACGTCCTGCACGGTGTTGGGCTGTAAGCACAACCCCCACCTGTGGACGTCGGGCCCTCATACCACCCTCATGGAGTCTGTTTCTGGCCGTTTGAGCAGACACATGCAAATTTGTGGCCTGCTGGAGGTCATTTTGCAGGGCTCTGGGAGTGCTCCTCCTGTTCCTCCTTGCACAAAGGCGGAGGTAGTGGTCCTGCTGCTGGGTTGTTGCCCTCCTACGGCCTCATCCACGTCTCCTGATGTACTGGCCTGTCTCCTGGTAGTGCCTCCATGCTCTGGACACTACGCTGACAGACACAGCAAACCGTTTTGCCACAGCTCGCATTGATGTGCCATTCTGGATGAGCTGCACTACCTGAGCCACTTGTGTGGGTTGTAGACTACGTCTCATGCTACCACTAGATTGAAAGCACCGCCAGCATTCAAAAGTGACCAAAACATCAGCCAGGAAGCATAGGAACTGAGAAGTGGTCTGTGGTCACCGCCTGCAGAACCACTCCTTTATTGGGGGTGTCTTGCTAATTGCCTATAATTTCCATCTGTTGTCTATCCCATTTGCACAACAGCATGTGAAATTGATTGTCACTCAGTGTTGCTTCCTAAGTGGACAGTTTGATTTCACAGAAGTGTGATTGACTTGGAGTTACATTGTGTTGTTTAAGTGTTCCCTTTATTTTTTGAGGAGTGTGTATGTGTATATATATATATAATAAAAATTCTTAAACCTTTAAAGAGAGAACTCACAGGACATTTTAATGAACATATCACTGCATTTATTGAAGCTTACTCATTGCAAAACAAACAGGATCAATGTTTCAGTCCTACACAGGACTTTTATATAGATAAAATAATTATTTTGATAAAAGTCCACTGTAGGACTGAAATGCCGATCTTGTTTGTTCTTGCATGAGTCTGCTTTAATAAATGCACCAATATTTTCATGAAAAATGTCCTGTGGGTGCTCTTTAATTTTTTTGTTTTTTGACTGAAATCCAGCACCCAGTCAATGAACAATACTGTAAGAGAAGTTGAATGCCTGTTTACTAGTCTGTCCTTTCCTGAAATGTTATTAGACTTGGGATCTGCAATAACATAGGATATAGGTGGGTACTTTGAGACACTTTGAGAGGTTTTGGGGGGTTTGGAATAAGAATGACTTTAACTTTAACGGTTAATGACGGTTAACTGTGGAACAAATACTGTTTGGTGGATACAATTAATAGACTATTAGCATTAAGCTTTCTCTTTATTGAAGTCAACTTGCTTCCTAGGTTCACTGTGTTTCACTGACGTTGTTTTTAGAGTCCATTTGAATACCTATAACAGTGTTTTTTACTTTAATTTGTTCCATAGGCAATTCCTTGGTGTGCCCCCCTTAAAGAGATACGCTATTAGTTGAAATTTGAGTAAGGTTCATCTCAGTGAAGTCCCTGGGCAAAATCTTACTTAATGTGTTAAACCTTTTTCCAATGGTTGAATAACTAAGATGTCCTCCTGTTCTTTCTCAGCTTAGTGATCATGCTGATCACAGAAGGGAATCATTAAAAAAAAACATAGGTTGCCAGTGACTGGCTCAGTCCAACAGATGACTTGCCTATTGCTAGTCCCGTAAGTACTGTACAGCAGTGTGGATGGCTCCCTTGGAGCATGTTACGTGTTAAAAGCATTTTAGGTGGAAAATGGTTTAACATCTTCAGGTAAGACGTCACCCAGTGATTCCAGCCACTATTTAAAATCATTTAAATATAAATGTGAAATCATACATGAACAGAAAATTGGACTTAAATATAAAATGTAACTGGAATATGTACTATAACTATATAAAGTGATTTTACTCAAGGTTCTTAAATATTAAGAATAGGGGATACACATAAAAATAAACTGTATTGTAAGTAAGAGTTATGTGTTATATTTTAAATCATTGGAAGACAGTGGACATCATTTGAAGTGTTGATTTATTGATGATATCTCCCTATACTGTATCATTTGAAATGTTCCTAAACTGTATTCTCTCAGCTTTAATCGTGGTCACATCCCTGGCAGCATTAGCATTCCATTTGGCTCTGCATTTACCACAGAAGGAGAACTGGTGCCATGCACTGCCAGTGCCACACTACAGAGTTTTAAGGGCAAAGTTGTTGTGATAGTTGGACACGTTGCAAAAAATACATCTGAGGTAAGTTTCAACCTGCTGACTAGTCTTTTCTCTTGTTTTGGTCAAGACTATTATTGCATTTACAGGTCATGTTAATGATTGCTGTATCTTTTATTCACTACTTGTAATTGTGATGTTAGAGTGGATATCCCAATGTTGGCATAGCTATTTATCTAAACAAAACTGTGTACCGTCAGTAGTGAGAACCTGTTACATCTGTAGCGAGATACACTACTGTTCAATCTATGAGACTGCTACTTCCAGTGTTATGTGATTTCTAACCAGTATATGACACTTACTATTATATAACAATATCCTATCCCTTCCAATATCCTACTTTTTATGATCTTGTGTTACACAACATATGGCAGAACGACAGATTGACTGGCTAATCAACAAATGCTTTATAAAATATGAGATATCAAACTCTGTTAAGGAACACATCAAGTTGGACGTGACATTTATTTTTAATGTATTATATAGATAGTGCATTAAAAATAAGCAAATAAATAAAATAATGATAAAAATTATTCACACCTTTAAACTCCCTGCAATCCCAAGGTCTCCAGCTTTTGTAGTTTGTTTTGTCCAGACTAGTTCTGTAGGCTATCAGGAGGCACACATTCTATTTATCTAAATCTATTTCAAAAAGTCGTGCAGGGTTTATAACATTTCATTAAAAGGTTTCTATAGTGTTAGGAATACAGATTTGTATTCCTACCACTATAGTGCCCTCTAGTCCCCACCTGACTCCAGCATGATGTCCCTTCGCACAGGGTCGGCGATCTGCCTCCTGTGATGTCATTCGATGGGGGTACCTAATGCACATGCATCGCAAGTGCATTAGGTCATGACTATAGGAAAGCATTAAATCAATCAATGCAGAGTGTGACAATGCCAAGCATCGTTTAAGGGACTCAGAGTCCACTAGAATGCAGGAAGTCCAGAGTCCACTAGAATGCATGAAGTTCCTCTAATGACAGTCTATTACATTATTGCAGTTTATCTAAAACTGCAATGTTTTACATTGCAGGACTAAGAGGGACAGGGGCAGTGCAACCAGACCACTTCATTGAAAAGAAGTGGTCTGGGTGACTATAGGGTCCCTTTGAATGGACACTCTAAGCACTATAAACAGTACAGCGTGTAGTGGAAGCTGTCCCACATATGTTCTAACGTTGCACAAAACTAATATTGCTTATGGCGAAATGTGAACATCTGCTTTAGTAAATCAATGCAGACCAAATGGACCGCAGGTACCCGATAGAGCCAGATAAGTGTCAAATCATTCATAAACCATTTAAACAGCTTCAAATGTGAAAGGCCTATGGGACTCCTGGCAACATAACCGCTACAACCAGTACTTATCCCTTTAAGTACTTGCTAGCATTTCTATAATCACTTATGAATTTATGCCTGAGCTGCTGCTGCTTACAGCTTCACTGGAAGCTCCATTCATAATCTGAGCTGCACCAGAGGACTGAAATGTATGTACTGGGAGAGCTTTGCATTTTAGTGGGACCACTGGAACACAGTTTGACAAACATGTGGACAGCACAGGGCCGGCCTTAGGCCATTAAGCGCCCTGTGCGAAAAATCTTCATGGCGCCCCCCACCAAGATGCCTGTACACAGTCACACACACAGGCACAAGCAGATAGTCACACAAACAGTTACAAGCAGAATCAGACACGCTCAGTTGCAGGCAGACAGTTACACATGCTCAATTACAGGCAGACCGTCACAGAGCCAGACACACAGTCACAGGCAGACAGTCACATACACAGTCACAAGCAGACAGTCACACATAGTCCATTACAAGCAGACAGTCATACACACTCCGTTACAGGCATGTAGACACTCACGCACTATTATAGGTACACACACACTCAGTTAAAGGCAAATAGTCACACATACAGACACAGGCACACACAACGGCACAGCTACAGCGACACACAACGGCACAGCTACAGCGACACACACAGGCAGTCACACACACACACAGGCAGGCGGTCACACACACAGGCAGTGAAACAGACAGTCACACACACAGGCAGTCACACACACAGACAGACAGTCTCACACACACACACCCTGGCAGGCAGACACATGAACAGGCAAACAGTAACACACAGACAGGCAGACACATGAACAGGCAAAAAGTCACACACACACACACACACACAAAGGCAGACACATCAACAGGCAAACAGTAACACACACACAGACTTACCTCTTTCCATTATGGCTGGAATGGGGAGTGGAGGCAGTTGGTTGTTGGGGAAGCAGGGGCGCCTTCCTGCTTCCCTCTTCCTGTGCAGCTTCGGATATGTATAGGCCCCGCCTCATGTTAAGCCCCACCCGCCGCACGTTAAGCCCTGCCCCCCACCGCCGAGATTATTTCTATTTTTTTTTTTTAATAGACCCGGGTGGAGAATAATTAATCCTCCACCCGGGTACCTGTTTTAGCTCCCCTGTCAGCCGGCCATGTGCGAGCTGTCTCGGCTGTTAGGGCGCCCCCTGGTCCATGGTACCCTGTGCGGCCGCACAGCTTGCACACCCCTAAGGCCGGCCCTGGGACAGCACTCAAAGACTCCTTGCACCATAACCTCTGCTAAGCAGAAACGATTTTGGTGTTTAGAGTGCCATAATAAGGAGTAATATACATTCCAATTAATTGCAAGGTACCACTTTCTCAATAAATATATATATATATATATATATATATATATATATATATATATATATAAATAAAATAAATGCATTTGCACCTATATAATTGAAAATTATGCTTATCTCTTAATACCTTGCATGGACCAAATCCTCAGGATCTGCATTTCTCAATCTCTGTCAAGACCAGGAAATACATAAAATCTCTCACACAATTGTGGACCCCCTCTGTAACTCTGAATAAAGCACTGATATGCATTATTTATAGAGTATTGATTATATCCATGTGTGGTGCTTCTACAGGGACAACATTTCATAATGGGCATTCATGTGCTCAGTATGAAGCAAGGCATGATTAGTGACTGTAGCAGACAGTAAGTACTTGAAGATATAGCCCTTGTTTGAATATACAGCCCTTCTGGATGCTGCAGAACCTTTACAAAGTATATTTTCAAAACAGTAAAATACTGAATTATTATTTTAACACATTAATAGTCAGTTTGCAATGAACTGATAAGTGAAACAAAAACTGTCATCAATCCAATTTAACATCATCCATAATGTAAAATCAACAGCAAACTGTGTAATGGAGAGAGAAAATGTCAAATACGTTATCAAAGGTCTTTTCACTGCCATGTCGCTTGAAGGGCATTTAGGGTGTATTTATTTTTATTTTTTTAAGTAATCAGATTTCTGACCTTTGTACATGCACAGTGTCTTTTTATGTAATCTAAAATATGATATTTGGCATACAGTTTTCCATTTTTATCTCAGAATAAGAGTGAGATTTTCCTGGGTTATACTTAATTCTGTCCAATGAATAAGTGGAAAAGGTCATCATGCGACAGTTATATCAAATTGCTGCAGTTGCAGCAGTTAATGCCAAGCTATGGCAGTGTTTGCTGAGTTTGTGTTTACATAGCTATTTCTTTATGACAAACATTAGGCGATGTTTTCAGTTGATTAGTAAATAAATTGAAGCAGCTCTATCCTTTTATTTTTTTCATTAATGATTTCCACTCATAAAACAACACAGAGTTACCAGAAAGCATTTTGTATATTTTGCATACCCCTAAGCCGACGTGGATTCTGTGGGACAGTCTTGTTTTGTGGCACTGTATTGCTGTCCCAGGTTCAATACCAGGGTTAACTGCTAAAGTGAGAATTCAAGGTGCATTCAAAGTGAATTTCAAATTTAAAGGAACACTATAGCGTTAGGAATACAAATGTTTTACATTGCAGGATTAAGGGACAGGAACACTGCAACCAGACCACTTCAATGAAATGAAGGTGTCTGGGTGCCTATAGTGTCCCTTTCAGGTGAAAATAGCTGAACTGGAAAAATTCTCTAAGTCAGCCAGGCTTTCAGCTCAGCTACTCTGGCCTTAATTTTGAAATTCATTTTGAATTCTTACTTTAGTTAAAAAGCCTGGAAGTGTAGCTCGAGCATATCATTGCTCAATGCTTTTCTTCCTATATAAAAAACACTTTAGCAACACTCTGAGAACTGGCAAGCCTGAGTAAAGTTGGAAAACCTAGCAAGCTGATTTCCCTTTCTAGAGGATCTGAGCACCCCATGCAGCATCGGATGTGGTGTTAGCTTGATAAAGACCTGCGTGCAGGTCGAAACGTTGCAATGTCCAATAAATCTGCTTGACTTATCACAGTGAGTGCTGAAATGTGTCTATGTATACCCATTTCAATAGAATGACCACTTCATTTAGCCGGAGAATAACCTATACATGTCAGAGAAAGCTATCTTTGTCTCTGTGCAACAATATCCTCAGGGCATGCTTATACACAGCTATTATTTACAGTGAACTCCTTAATTTATCTCTTACCTAAGGTGAATGGAATCCACTTCTTGAAGGGTTAGTTTGCTTTAATTGTAACAAGTAGCAAAAGAATGCAGGAGGGAGATACCATAGTACACTGCATATCGGTCAGTCACACCGACAAGAAAATCTTTGTCTTCTCACAGACTTCAATGCATTTCTACACATGAAGTCCAAACCATATTTTGCAATGCTGTTACTGATATTTTTTTCACACTCACCAGGAATGTTAATAACATCCCTTTAGATAAATAATAGGAAACCGTTTAAAACATGACAATGTTTCATTCTTTCCCAGATGTTACTGATGAGAATTGAAAAGGCCTTTGCGTTAGCAGGAAAGTGATGTCATCATTTCACCCCTGTCCTCTGCATTCAATAAGATGTAAAACGTTTCATTTTTTTTTTTTTTTGGCACAAATCTGGAAGAGCAATTAACAGAAATGATCCATAGAATGCCAGTGGCTTAGATCCATCACATTAATTTATTCTAATGTATTCTTTCTATTATATTCCAGAAAACTGCTTGTGTGAGAAAGCATCCCCCTGCATCTTATGATTTTAGTTAAACCCTCAGGAATTGTATCATTGGCACATCTAGGGAAACCCAAATGTAAAGAAATACAAAATATATCTATACACACAAAGTAACATTACATAATGTTAAGTATCAAAATCACAAACCTTAAAAACCCTTACATGCTCATAATAGCTTGTGATAATACACAGATACAAAGCAGCAACTATCCAATCATATATCTGATCTGCAGAATCATTAATAGTAAAAATACAATATATTTATTCTAGCAAACTCTTTAAAGGGACACTATAGTGTCAGGAAAACCCCTTCAGCTACTCACCCTATTCCCCCGCCGGGCTCCCTTACCTCTCCTCTCCCGCCGACGTCAGCATCCTCGTCCGATGTCACCAGCGCCGAATGCGCATGCACGGCACTGCCGCGCACGCATTCAAAGTGTCCGTAGGAATATGCCTCAATATGCCTCAATCATTGCCGATGCACCTCTAGTGGCTATCCGGAAGACAGCCACTAGAAGCTGGCTTAACCCCAGATGTAAACATAGCAGTTTCTCTGAAACTGCCATGTTTACATCAGACAGGGTTAAAACTAGAGGGACCTGACACCCAGACCACTTCATTGAGCTAAAGTGGTCTGGGTGACTATAGTGGTTCTTTAAGTGTCATTGTTACAAAAATTCCAGCGAGAAATTAATAAATCTAAAAACAATACTGTAAAATAAAAATAAAAAAAACTATTCACATTTCCAGGTAACTATGAAATATTTTGTTTTTGTAATTACTGGAGCAGCCACTAATTGCCAATTGGTGATCATCATTAATGGCAGAGACAACCATTTTAGCAATGAGCTACTTATTGATAAAATATTGCAACAAGCATGGAAACTATAGTAGAAATTGTAGTTTACATGAACATGTCAAAGTGTCTCTTTCCACAGTATAACTATTCAAACGTAAGTTAAACATAATTTGAATTTTGGACTCTTTTGAGTGGGCATTGTTTCTTACAACAATACTTTGCAATTCTTCTATACCATTGATGGCTAATCTGGATATCCCATATGTTTGGTAAATACAATTGTCCATGATACTGAATAAGTTGCATTTTCAGTTAAATTTGGGGAAATCATTTGAAACATTTATTGTCTTGAGCTATTTCAATAACTTTTGTTTTATTTGTTCATTACAAACAGCTGAAAGTCTGTAAACTTTAAAGGACCAGTATAGTGCCAGGAAAGCAAACTTGTTTTCCTGGCACTATAGGGTCGATAGGTCCCCCCACCCTCAGGGCTCCCCTCCCGCTGGGCTGCAGGGGTTAAAACCCCTTCAGGCACTTACCTTTCTCCAGCGCCGGCTCCCTCGGCGCTGGTGACCTATCCTCCCCCTGCCAATGTCAGATCCGAATGCGCATCCGCGGCAAGAGCCGCACACACATTTAAACCGCCCATAGGAAGGCATTACTCAATGCTTTCCTATGGACGTCCAGCATCTTCTCACTTTGATTTTCACAGTGAGTATCACGGAAGCGCCTCTAGCGCTGTCAGAGGCTGGATTAATCCTCAGTGAAACTGCTATGTTTTCAGCTGCAGGGTTAAAACTAGAGGGACCTGGCACCCAGACCACTTCATTGAGCTGAAGTGGTCTGGGTGCCTATAGTGGTCCTTTAACAATAAAAATAATTTTCAATGGGAGTTGAATCATTTTGATTACAACTATATATAGGTGCTTTAAGCCAAGAAATGTAGTTCAAAAACATGGGACCAAGGACAGACACAATTGTTATATAGTTTGGTTGCACGCCTCCCAGTAGTCCTGATTTCATTGGGGTGGTCCCGATTTCGGGGTCGTGTCCCACCATTCGTAGTTTGTCCCCACAAAATAGTAAACCAGAACAGAAGTGCAAGCTACCCCCAAAACAGCAAGCTCATAATTAGTGCTCTGCAAAGAGCACTGAAACTCTTGGATAGGTCGTTCTGCCCCCTTTGGGTGAAGCCAGTGCTAAAATTTGCATCACTGGACTGCCCCTGTTCCTCGCTCATCTGTGTCATATGTGGATGTCTTTTGTGAGCTGTGTATCAAGCCACACAAAATGCAGGCAGTTTAAAGCATGGTTAGGAGACTGTTGCTGGGATCATGCAATATATTTGCTCTCAGATTTCAGTTCCACAGAACACCTATTTAAAATATTTACCCCGATCAATCTGTAATGGACTTATTCACATATATTGTAGCTGCAATCAACGTTAATTTTCACTATGCAAATTTGTGATATTGCTTTAGTTACTTTTTGCATACATATATCTATTTCCAGAAATAATGCATCCAAAAATAATTACTTTCCTTTTTATCTTCTTACAAATAATGTTAAAGTCCAGAGTGTGGGAACTAAATATTATTAGGGGCTGAGGGAGATGCTGGAAACATGCCTGGCTGAAGGTCTCTCTCTGGTCTCTGAAAGACTGGCCAAGAGAAATTCTTTCTGTGTTTTCTTCATGGTGTCATGGGTTCCTCGGTCACTGACTTGATGACCCACATTTTAAAGCTCTTGTATAGTTCCTGTTTGTATCAAAGAAACTATTAAGCAAATAGCATCATAATAATGCTCTGCCAGATTACATTTCACTTGACTCACTAGCTCAAGACTTATTCATCAGACATTTGCCTTTACGCCATTGTAAAAGGAGCATTTATTGAAAAATCTCATTAGATCTGATTACTTTTATGCATGCATCTGAAAAGATAACAGTTGTTCTCAGTAAGGATATTTAACTTTGCCTCACACATGCCTCCTTGGTCAGCTTTTCTTGCTTAACTAATTCATGATTGCAATCTGCAAGTTAATGTTCCAGAATAATTACATGTGAACTAAAGACAAAAACTCCAGAGTATAGGAATTTGCTCATTATCCACAAAGGTGATGCAAAAATATAAATGTTCACAACTTCGTGTGAACCTTTAATATCTGCTGTTTTAATGAAGTCACTTTAGAATATGTCAGTTCTAAATCCTGTTTTCATCTCTTTTCATTGTGAGTGTTTTCTTTTTAATGGACCAAAAAAATTGTTGCAATTGTTTATTTAGAGCTGTTGGGTGATATTAAAGGACCACCGAAGATACCCAGACCGCTTCACCTCAAATAAGTGGTCTAGGTGCAGTAGACCTTAAGTTTTGTAGAAACTGGAATGTTTATATTGCAGGGTTAAACACATCTCCAGTGGTTGTTGTATTGGCAGCTACTAGTGGTGTTTACCTGTGAGAACTGATTCAGGATCTAGTCTCAATAAAATGCTGCACCATGGGAATTGCTGCGCATGCACACTAGCCTTCCAATGCTACTGTTTAGATTATTGATGATCTTAGCCAGGTTTCTGGTCAAGGAAAAATAGACAGATATAACAAGAATGCTAAAAATATTTAGATTGCTTTATTGTGGACACAAATATTCCTCACATGGTGCCAACTGAAGAAAGAAATGACCTAGGTAAGTGCTTAACCTGTCTTATGAGAAATATGGCCCAGTTTCTAGTAAATAGTTTTCTCTGGATCCATAATCATGCACTATAGCAGGGGTGGGCAATCTTCGGCCCTCCAGATGTTTTGGACTACATCTCCCATAATGCTAGCAAAGCATCAAGGGAGATGTATTCCATAACATCTGGAGGGCAGAATATTGCCCACCCCTGCACTATAGTTCTCATCACACAGCGTATTTCTCTGTTTTAAACCTACACACTCAACATTATCCATAGAGAATCATGTCTCAGTAGAAGACAAGCAAATGGACACTTCACAGTTTATAGGTAAAATGTGGCAAATAGCTTAGACATTTATATTGTAAACTTATCTAATTAAGCACTTCGTATAATAGAGCTTCAGTGGTTAGATATCAGCTTACCAGCAAGGCCCTCACTACCTTTTGTATTTGTCTGTGTATATTGTATGTTCTCCCTTAATTGTACAACACTGCAGAATATGTTGGTGCTTTGTAAATGCAAGTCATAAATAAAAACTAGACATAAGAAATGGACATTTAGAAGAACCTGCACATTCTTAAATATTTTTGCATTTAAAAGAGACAAGGCAAGTGGGACAATGATAACGTTGGTTAAGGAGAATAGAAGCATGTTGACAGGGCAAAATCGATTTGGACATTGAGAAAGGAGAAACAATTAAGGCAGAATTGTTTCTGAAGAGGCCACGGTAGTGGTTACCAACCCTGATCTCAAGGACCTACCAATGCACGGATTTGTGAATTTCTAAATACTGTTCAATGGGGAAATTGACAAATCTTTGATTGTTGAAGGATTATTTGAGAACCGCAGAATGTGATAAAGAAGGGAAAGTTGCTGAAATAAGACAGAGGAGACAGAAAGGGAAATACAGGGACATAAACATGGCAGAAATAAAAGACAAAATGCTGTGATCGAGGGGAGAAATATTATAGAGTTGGAAAAGGAAGGAAGAAAGAAGAGTCCAGTTTTATTTTGGTGGTTTCTATCTTCATTGTTTCCATTATAACCTTTGCTTTGTTTTTGAATTCTTTATTGTTAAAAGAGGATCATTAGCCATAAATAATAATAATCCCAAAAGAGCAAGTCAGCATAAAACAGAAAAAAAGCTTTTTGTGCATATCAGTTTTATGAGCTCTTGATGACAACGACATTGTGATTTAATACAGCCAGCGGTTATCCAGTGGATGGAGGTCTGCTTGGTGATAAGGATCTCGCTGAAGCTTGTCCTGCTTCCCAGACCTCTCGCTTCACTGCCTGTGAAATTAGAAGCCCAGACTCTTGGCCTGTCTTCACAAAGCATACCAGGAATCCCTCTATAGTTTTTACTCACTTGTTTGATGAAAACTACACTATATTAAGATAAAGCTGTTAAAATAACCACTCTTTGTGAATATGCTTTTTAACATTCATATGATCAAAATTTTAATTCCTTAGAACTGGCATTCTCAAACCAAACACAGAAATGTGGTGAATTTATACCGTTGGTCAATGTTTTGTGTATTGCAAGGCTTTCTGTATAGAGGATCCTTAGTGCATGTTACCAGTAAAGGTTTGGGGAGGGTTCACCTGCCCTCATGCCTGGGAATCTATAGATAAGTTGTAAGGCGATGGGCAATGGGGCTGAAGTCATTGACACTGCTGCTGTGTCATAGTTATAGCGACATGGAGTCCACAACCAGCTCCACATTCTAATGCCTTTTGTAAAAAACACATAGTACAAAATGTTGGATGCACAAATGCTAACCAATTCTAAAAGTTCTAAAAATAAATAAATGTGATTATAATGATATGTATCCCTATCTGTTATTTTTTTTTCTAACCCTCACCATATGTAACATTTGCCCTGTAGAGATGAACTGACACATTTGTCCTAGTATCAATTTCTATATAGGTCCCAGGCTTTAGGAGTATCTCACCTGTGGGTTAATGCCTTTTCTGACTGACATCTAGATCTATTCTCGAAATCTCTTCTAGTTTACAAGTAAATATGTTTAAATATTAGCTCTCAAATATTTAAGGGATTTGTTAAGGCAGCATTGGAAGTCTTTTTCAAGTTTTATCAGCTATTATGTAGGTTAAGAATAACTAAGCATATGTTAGAAAATATGTTAAGATTTCACATGGAAATCTTGTTTTATTCAGTAGGAAACCCCTTTTAAGGTAGGGTCCTGCAGCTCTATTCAAAGGCCTCCGCTCAGCCCACAGTCACGTCTATTGGTAATCGCCAAGCTCCAGGGTTCATTTGAAGCTGGATGATGTGGGAATTCGTAATAAGAAGAGAATGCTTAGATCAAAACCACTGACCGACTACGTTGCTATTTCTGTGCTGGAATAGATTAAAGCTTTTGTTATGGTTTTTGCCACCCCTGTGCCAAACATGCTTTAACAAACTGGTATAAAAATTTTGAGTTTCTATGAGAATGTAAATACTGTGAGATGAAAGCTGAGGCCTCATTCCAAGTTAGCCTGACTTTTTTATTTTATTTCCAAAGCTTTGCTAGCCTTGGAACTTAAAGCAGCCTTCCCTCATATTCTCTACATCAAAGAAGACAAGCTCAAATGTTTGACGAAGCTTCCTGTTAACATAGAAACTTTTGGTTGCAATAAAAGGTGACTTTCTTGAATGAAATGTTGCACTTGACCTTGGCTGTCTGAATTTTGTTTTATGTTGTTAGTTTACACGGTGGTGCTTTGCGATATATTTCCATTTGGCCACTGCAAAAATCCAAACAATATAAAGAAATAAGCATTATCACTGCACAACATTAACTCATTTATTACAAGGTTTTATGCAAGTTCCATAATATCTTAATTGTCCCAGTTATGACTACTGTTCTATGTTTTTCTGAAAATAAATATAAATGTGAATGATGAAATTGTACAACATTAGCTTTCTTTTGAATACTTTTGATTTGTTCTTATTGTTTTAGTTGTATGTTTTAAATCAGAGTTTGTTCATCTGTTAGTATGACATCTCACAGGCAGCAATTCCTTTTACTTTCAAGAGAAGATAAATAAATGTATAGTTCTTTCAGTATGAGAGAACGAATACATTTATTGCCCACTGTCCGTATATGTAAGGGGTTAAGATAGGCCATAAGTCCACAGTCTACTAAAACGGTAATATAATGCAGTGCATGGGCTGTAGTGAAAGCCCATTTGGACAGCTTTAGATTTGTAGACTTTCACATGAGAAGCTGTTTTTAGAGCAATGGCAGCAAAGGCTATGCGTAAGAACATTATGCATACATTGTATGAGCGTAGCGTAAGCATAGATGTCGGAAATAACCTATGATTGTAATTCATGCAACTGCAGTCTTTAGCGCCAAGATGGTATATTTATGCTAGTCTAGACAAAAGGAAGGAATTGTAGAATATACAAATTATGTATAATATAATTCATAGATCAGCACGTAGCAATCATCAGTATTAAATCAATAAAGTGCAAAAAACAAAACTGTATATACTATACAGAAATAGGGCGCCACTTGTCACCAAATATAAATACTGGATATAATTACCCTCCAGCGGACAAATGAGGATATTCACATAGAAAATATAAAAAGAGAAAACATCATAGTGCAAACTTTTAATTCCATAGTGATAAAAAGACACATAGATAAAAACACTCACAAACAGTGTGGCACAATTGACTGAATCAATATGTGCTAAAGTGCTGATGCCTAAAATAGGCTAAATCTCCCGGTCTTGGCAGTCTGTGGACGTCTGTATGGAAGCTGTAGCAAGGACAGATAAAACAGTTCACCATCAGCTGATTCAATTCCCCGGGTCTGCTCAACGCGTTTCGTCTGTTCTTATTCAGACTTCATCAGGAGCGATCCGGAGTCTTCTCTATTCGGCATTTAAATATGCCCGGTGGCGTCCTTTCTGTGCAATTGCGCATGCGCAACCGGGTGCCGACGTGATGACATACCATCCGCCGGCGTCCGGCGCGCATGTGCGTTCCACCATGGAACGCATGCAAAAAACTTTATTATTCTAAGCAACAAGGACAACATTGAGACTTATAAAAAAAGAAACCAATATGTCCCAATGCTACTATATGTTAGATGCACATATAGAGAAGGCTCTAATAGAACTTATAAAATGTATATATATGAAATGTAAGATAAAAGAAAAGAGAAAAAAAATCTATAGAGATAGATATGCATGTAATTGCAATATATGAATCCAACATATTACCAACACAAAAAATTGGATCAGGACCATTTCGATTTACATACATATGACAATAATAATGATATTGTATTTAGAAACTATAAATATTGCTTATAAAAAATATATATGCTAGTATTTTGAACTAACATTATTTAAACAGAACGTAATTTTACAGAGGCGTAATTACAAAAATATATTAACATAATTATAAAAACATAATAATAAAATTGCATGATTCTAGACAATTCTAAATTGATATGATTCTCCAAAGCAATAGAACAACATATTTCTTCTAAAAATTCTAGAAAGGACTCAATTTAAAAATACTAAAAAGGACTCATTTTGAAATTAACTCAATCAAGGACGGATGTAAAATGAAAGGAAAAAAGAGAAAGGAAACAGGGTTAGCAATATTTCAATCAATCATATAATCAGTTGCTCAATTAAAATATATAAATAAGAATAAAATATAAATCAGTGTGGCATTAAAATCAGTGTAAATCGTAACATCTTGGTGGAATTAATCCATAAACACTAAAATATCCAAATCTGTGTTAAGACCGTCTGGAACAGAAGTCCTTAATTTGTAAATCCATTCTGTTTCTTTCAACGTAAAATTACGTTCTGTTTAAAATTATGTTCTGTTTAAATAATGTTAGTTCAAAATACTAGCATATATATTTTTTATAAGCAATATTTATAGTTTCTAAATACAATATCATTATTATTGTCATATGTATGTAAATCGAAATGGTCCTGATCCAATTTTTTATGTTGGTAATATGTTGGATTCATATATTGCAATTACATGCATATATATCTCTATAGATTTTTTTTCTCTTTTCTTTTATCTTCATTTTATTTTATTTTATCTTACATTTCATATATATACATTTTATACGTTCTATTAGAGCCTTCTCTATATGTGCATCTAACATATAGTAGCATTGGGACATATTGGTTTCTTTTTTTATAAGTCTCAATGTTGTCCTTGTTGCTTAGAATAATAAAGTTTTTTGCATGCGTTCCATGGTGGAACGCACATGCGCGCCGGACGCCGGCGGATGGTATGTCATCACGTCGGCGCCCGGTTGCGCATGCGCAATTGCACAGAAAGGACGCCACCCGGCATATTTACATGCCGAATAGAGAAGACTCCGGATCGCTCCTGATGAAGTCTGAATAAGAACAGACGAAACGTGTTGAGCAGACCCGGGGAATTGAATCAGCTGATGGTGAACTGTTTTATCTGTCCTTGCTACAGCTTCCATACAGATGTCCACAGACTGCCAAGACCGGGAGATTTAGCCTATTTTAGGCATCAGCACTTTAGCACATATTGATTCAGTCAATTGTGCCACACTGTTTGTGAGTGTTTTTATCTATGTGTCTTTTTATCACTATGGAATTAAAAGTTTGCACTATGATGTTTTCTCTTTTTATATTTTCTATGTGAATATCCTCATGTGTCCACTGGAGGGTAATTATATCCAGTATTTATATTTGGTGACAAGTGGCGCCCTATTTCTGTATAGTATATACAGTTTTGTTTTTTGCACATTTGGTTAAGGGATACAGGGAGGGCATCCCTATATATAGTGGCTTGCCTGCACTTTTTTACATGATCAGTTTTTTCACTATCCACACTTGGTTTTATTTAAATCAATAAAGGTCTATTTTCAGCTTTATAACAGTTGTGTGCTTTCGGGTCTGTGTCCAAATTTCATACAAAAAGTAGTTCACATTCACAGTTTTGAATAACTACTTCTGGTAGTTTTCATCCATACAGAAAAGGGACAAAAATCATCCCAACAAACAGCTCCAGTCTTTGGTCAGGTATCTCAGGGCAATTTACAAGCTGTCATCATTGATAGTCAACTATCCTTTGATCCAACCATCATCCTGTCTGGTAGAAATTAGGACATACATAAAAGTAATTGTTGAATGCTTGTTTTCACAAATAGCAATATTACCACTATGCGTCTGAAAGCCAAACAAGAATGTTCTCTGAAACATTTCCCCCACAGCGTCTTTTATTTCTAAATTATATTAAGTTCTAAATGTATGCTTGGTGTACAAGTATAACAAGCCGATGATCTGCCACGATCAAAAGGAAAATAACTAAAAAGTAGACTTATTCCATCTTAAAGGAACACTTTTAGCTTCATAACCACTAAAGCTAGCTGTAGTGGTCTAGGTGCCAGGAATGTCCTGGCATCCTCCACAGTAATTCTATTTAAGAATAGTTTGACAATTTACCTGGTGTCAACTTACCTGATGCCAGCCACCACCTCCCGTGCTTACTGGACACTCTTGCCACTGAGCTAGGCCTGACATTTAGGGAGCTGCTCACTAGCAGATAATGCTAATCTGATGTTATGACCCAATAAGCCAGCTCCATGCTTAGTCAGTCTAATAGAAGCTCCTTGTAGGATCTTCTGGCTGCAGTGGAGGCAGCAACTGGCATCCAGCAGTTGACAATTTACCCAGGTAAATTGTCAAACCGTTATTAAATATTTTGGCTGCTTATTGTGTGAGGAAGCCAGGGCACTCCTGACACCATAACCACCACTTGGACATGAAGCCAGGGCAGCAGCAAGACATAGCAGCATAGTTCCTGGATGAATTGTCCCATTGCTAGTGTACTTATATTTGTTTTGTTTTTTTATATAAATACCCGGATTAAGACAGAAATGTGACCAGTTCCTCAAATATATAATTAAGAAAACATACCTTTTTTTTTTTTTTTTTAAATGAGCATCATTTTCTAAATCATTGGTTAATACTGCGCTAAACTCTTGTAATCCTTCTAATCCCATTTAAGTGTTTGTTTCGCAAAAGGAGATAAACCTTTCTGTGGACCCTATGACCTTTACAGCCATCTGTGTTATGAAACACTTTGTAAAATGTCAGGGTATTTACACAGACTAAGGGGGCAGCAGAGCAGTTGCCCCCTGGGTTCTTTGAATTGAAACAGCCATCAGGGGGATAATATGAAGAATTCCTACTATAATGAACTTCAGAGCCCTTTATATCATGTGCTACTGTTTGCTGTGTATGAATAACCAGCTGGATAGGGTTGCCTATTGTATATTTGGTAGCCTATGCTTGTTATCTGCTTGGATTAAAGCTACAAATCTAGGATTAAATTAATGATTTATTTCACACAGGAAAAAAATGTCAATTACATGCTGCTTGACATGTAATGGTCAATACAATAAGTGCCTGTGTATAGACATATACCAAACAACACTGGCTTGTTTCCCACGAGTCCTTGGGAAAAGAATCAGGGCTCGTCTTCTGTGTGTGCTATATAAATCCATAGATAAGTAGATAGGAATAGGCTAACTACTGTAGCATCATAACCTGTCATATACACATAGCCAGTTGCACTTAACCGTGACATTTGTGGCAATAATTAACTCATTGTATCATGTAAGGTTTGTATGTTCTTCCCTGTGGTGTGATTTATTTCCCCCCCTTGAAACAGTTGCTCACACAGACTTTGATTTAAGTATGGGGGTTGAAAAGTAAAGCCAACATTTCAGGCCTATGACTTATTTATGTGCTGGGCTTAGCTTCACATTTGGCTCAGAGCACATCTTGAGGTACAAGACAGCTGCCTAAGCTTTTTTGATACGGCCACTTGTTGATCAGAGATATCAGTGGTATTCACTGGTTAAAGTATGTATAGTATTTTTACTGCTGTTTGGGTTTGGTAGATATTTGCTTACAGCTAAATTTCACCTTCTTTTTAACCTCGTGTTAATGTGCAATATTTATTTAAAAATCTAAAGGAATAATTTAAATGCTATCAAAAGTTTGCAACACATATGTTTTATGTTGGGACCAAAGCCCGTATGTGCTTGGTGAGCCACAGAGTAAATGGTGTATTTCTATGAGAAGGTAACTGCAGTGGCTAAAATGGCTTACATATTCAATATACACCTCACATCAAAATCTCCTGTATAAACTGACTCTTGTATTTACTTTCAGTAATACGTGAATGACAAGAGCTGTTCCATCCACACATAGTATAGAGATACTTCGTCCCTAGTCATGTGATTAGTGCCGCCATGTCTGCATAATTTTACTATCCTTGCAGTAATACTGCCACAACTCTTCACAAGTCATTATATATGTTTAATTCTCATGTAGTTAGGACATTATTTTTTCAAAGTTTTTAAATGATTATCAAAGAAGTGTAGGAGTTGTGTTTACCAGTATCAATTGCTACATTACTTACAAAATAATGAATGCTCAAGTTTCTCCAAAGCCTGGACATCCCCACTAGTGATGGATTTGAGATAAGTAACCTAAGGGTCCTAGATATAAACTGGGCAGGACTAGAATTAACATTAGACAGCCTGAAACAGAGTTCTGAGCGGGCTAAATCAGTGGTGTTGGTGGTGTAACTAGCTCACATGTGCAGATTATTCCTGTTCAAGCAGAAAGGATACTCATACAGATTTTTACTACCTTGACCACTTCTAAAAGCAGAAGTGGACATGGTGATTGAAGTATCACTTTAATATATACTTTTTATGTATGACATTGAGGACTAAATTATTTATTTATTTATTTATAAAATATTTTACCAGGAAGGATACATTGATATTTCTCTCGTTTTCAAGTATGTCTTTGGCACTTGTGTTAAGGTTCTGGAGTGTCCCTTGTGTTGGGGTTCTGGAGTGTCCCTTGTGTTGGGGTTCTGGAGTGTCCCTTGTGTTGGGGTTCTGGAGTGTCCCTTGTGTTGGGGTTCTGGAGTGTCCCTTGTGTTGGGGTTCTGGAGTGTCCCTTGTGTTAGGGTTCTGGAGTGGAGATAAAACTTGTTTTATTTATTTAGAAGTTCTCTGTGTAGACCTTCATGATGCAGAAATAACTGTTACTTGTGTATCACCTGTGCTCACAATGTCATTATCAGCAGGATTTTTCATATTTATTATTTGGTGTGAGATTTTGGGATTTGATTGAAAATCTTTTACGTCCTGTAGTGGAAATTAGTCCTGAAAAGTGATTTAAACAGGAACCTACTGAGACAACTGTTCAGCGAGCGGATAATTTCAAGAAATTCTAAGATTAATTGACTGCCATGTTTGCTCAACCTTTCAGCTCCCGATTCCTTATTGAAGGAGCGGTGTACACTTGAGCAGCTCAAGGAGAATATCCGTGCAAAAATTTAAGCGCTAGAGCCTCAAATAACTAATGTTATGAATAATGCAATTGAAAGAGCCCGACTTTGTGAGGCGGCAAATGGTGCTCATTTAAAATGTCATAGTCCATACCTAGTTGAAGAAATCTCCTTAGATTAAGCATTAATTGTATGTAATATAATTGAAATTGGTTCATTAATAAACATGTTATTGACTCCTCAAACCCTAGTCTGAATATCATCGCACCCTGTATATATGTATATAATGCCATATTAGCAACTCTAGTTTCTTCAGTCTGTCTAATTATAGATTAGTTTTATAGTTTTAATTCAGAACCACAATGTTAAATTATTTTGACATAATGTTCCAAATCATGCATTTGTCACATTTCTTCTATCTTGGCCTTATTACTGTTATTGTAGAATAAACTAAATGTTTTGTACTTCAGTTTGCAGCTCACCTGGTGAAGTTGGGATATCCAAGAGTATGTATTCTGGATGGTGGCATTAACAAAATGAAGCTAACAGGCTTGTTGACTGTTCCTTCACCACAAATATGAGCAAGGCAAAGCTACATATGTGTAAAACCGAGAACAACACAAGCCTGTATGGACAGATTACCTTCTCACTGTGTCATATTATGTATGTGGGTATGTATTGGCTAACATTCCAGAGCGCCACAAAAGCTGGTTCTACGATCAAAAGTCTATTCAACTACTCATCTCTACCAAAAACACAGTGCAATACAGGGATTCTCTTCATTTTTACTCGCACTTGGATATCAAACCTTTCTTCCATAGTTTCTACCAAATCACTTGTGTTAATGTCAACACCAAGGAAATATTTATCACAGGTTATCTTCAAAGTATGTTACCATAAAACCAATAATTGATCAAAGATAGACAGATTTTTTTTTTTTTATTTATTTGACATTTATAAAAAAAAAGAGATAATTTCTTGCCTCTGATATTATTGCATTACATAATTTCTTTTTGATACAATGAAACTAATTTCAGGCATATTTAAAAGTTATAATTGAGAAACAATTTAAAATACTTAACATTTCTAGATATTCGTTTACACTTTGAGTGGCAGCTCTTTAATGCGTAGAATAGGATTGTTATGTAATGATTGTTAGGCTATTCATAATCTTCTGGCTAATCCATGTTTATATACTTATGGTCTAATTAAGTGGTTCCCAAACCAGTCTTCAAGGCACAATCAGTCCGTAATCTTGTCATTTTCCAGTTCAGTTTCAATGGGTTTAGTGATAAATCCTGCTCTGTTTGTGTGCTCTGAGGATTGACTTGGGAACCACTGGTCTGTTTAGCTGTTCACCACTGCCATAGTTAATGTTTACCATTTTGAATGCAAAGTACTCAGATTTTCTTTTGTAAGACCGTTCATATCAAATAGTCATGTAAGACTGCCCCTCCTTAAGATAGACTGTGCTTATTCCATGCTGTCAGGGAGTGTCCATTTCTTTCTAAAATGACAGTGGCCTGCCCACGGTATTACGCTGTAAATTGCTAAAAAACTGAATCCATACCTATGAATTTGCATTTTGTGACATATTCTTTCTTTTTTAGTATAACAAAAATGATTTAAAAAATAAAATAAAACGGAACTAGAATTGTGATTGGTTATACTGAAAAAATGTTTTCTGACAAAAGATCACCTTTAACCCCTTAAGGACACATGACGTGTGACATGTCATGATTCCCTTTTATTCCAGAAGTTTGGTCCTTAAGGGGTTAAAGTTGTACTAAATGTAATGAATTTAATCATGTGCTGTCTTATCTGACTATTTTGACTTAAGTCTCTGCATTTAAGCAACTGACCTACATGTCTCACAGACCATTTACCATAAATATCACTGATAATATGTAATTAAAGTAAAACTATAGACAACCAGACCACTTCAGCTTATCAAAGCGGTCTGGGTTTCAGTGTCCTGGGCCCCTTAAAGGGACACTATAGACAGCAGAACAACTGTAGTTGTTCTGATGAGTGTAGCATGTCCTGCAGGCATTTTTATGCTCTGCCCCCTAACCCGCCTCCTTGGTGATCTCAGCCAATCCTATGATTTTCCATAGGGAAAGCATGGGATTGGCTGAGATCATAGATTCTGATGTCAGCCAAAGAGGCGGATTGGGTAGGGACCGGCTCTGGTGGACCCGCGCTGGAAAAAGGGTTAATTTTAACCTTTTCTATGGGGACTAAAGGCAAGCCATCTGAATGGTGGTTTTAAGATAGTGTCCCTTTAATAACATAGTGATATTTATGGTAAGGAATGCATGTTTGTGTTCCTGACCCTATAGTGTTCCTTTAACCCTGCAATTGTGCTTATTGCAATTTTTGATCAACCTTGGAGGGTTGACTCCACCTCTAATGGCTGTCTTCCACACTAGACAGCCACTAGAGGGACTTCTGGATGGTTAAGTGACTTCTGGTTGTCCAACTGACACTGGATGTCCTCACGCTATGCATGAGGACATCCAGCGTCATCCAAATCCCCATAGGAGAGCATTAAACAATGCTTTCCTGTGGGGAACTCCTAATGCAAGCACAGCAATTGCCGCACATGTGCATTAGGTCCCCCTGACCCAGCTCCGAGGGACATTGGCGCTGGAATCAAGTAAATGATAAAGGTTTTTTTAACCCCTTTATTAACAAGGGGAGGGGGGGTGGATTATTGAGAGCTATAGTGTTTGGAAAACAACTTTGTTTACATAGCACTAAAGTTTCCCTTTAATAAATAAGCATCTGAGAATTGTAAACCATGAGATCTATGTACCCTGAATGCTGATTCCAGAATCCAAACCTACTTTTATATATATATATATATATATACACACACACACACACACACACAATCTGAAGATCAAAAATCTAAATGAAGTTAGGGATTCACAAGTGGCTCTCTAGTTAATACAATTCACATAATAATGTTAATCAATAATGAAATATAAATTAATTGTATTTTGTAATCATGATCGGTTGTGAATGTACTGGAAAAACTAATGTTCTGAGTCTTTTTGTTAATGGTAACATTTTGTTATTGCTGATCCTTTCACAGATAGTGCTGCTCTCTTTCACTCTGTGCGCTATAGTATTTAATCAGAATATAAGACAAACTGTGACATGGAGCGGAGGCAAAGATATGTGACTACACTGCGTAGATTGGGGAACCAGTGTTTACTCTATATGCCAATAGTTTATTGTTTGTTACAGCCATTGTTCACAAATGTATTAATGTCCTTTTTTGTTTTGTTTTTATTTCACTGTGAATATCTGGATTAAAAAATAAATTATGTACTTGTATTTTAAACATTATATTGTTTGTTTACTAAAATTTATTTTGATTTTAACCCGTTAAGGACAGAGGCAATTCTACAAGTTCTAACCAAAACAAATCCAAAACTTGAGCTATGTGTCTGTTCAGCCATAATTTACCTATTTCATATTAAGTGCACCCACACTTCTTATATGTAATTTGTTTAAATAGGGCTTTTTATTTCACGTCAAATATTTATGTATAAAACATAAGTATGAGAAATTAAGAAATGTTATTTTCCAAAGTTCTGTATGGCATTTTAACAGTGAATGTCATAATACTGTTGGCTTTTAGTGCAATAAAACACAGATAGTTGTATGCTATGATGTCCCACAAGTACAATGAAACCCTCCATGTACAGGTTTCATGGCATTTTGGAAAGTTACAGGGTCAACTATAAGACTTGCCCATTTCAGTTTTTACACATTGAAATGTGCAAGATGATTTTCTGTACCTATCTTGCCTTTTGAGACCAGATCGCAGCCCAGGGATGAAAATGACCCTCATCAATGCATACCATTTGCAAAAGTAGACAACTGAGAGTATTCAGAATGGGGTATTTCCAGTCTTTTGTTTTGTTGTAAATTTCTCTTTTTTTGAAATATTTTGTTGGAATTTTCAATAACTGTAAATTGGTACGCGCAGGTACCAGACTCAACTAGCAATCAAATAAGGTACTGTAAGATTTGCAGATCTTCGAGAAAGGTAAGTATGTCCAGCCTTTTTTAAAAAGCCAGTTAGTCACAAACCTTGGCCAAAGTACATTTTGATATATGTTTTGCATTTTTTCATAAAAAAATGCACTTTCACTGATGAGGTCATGGTCACATATACGTTACACTGCTCTAAAACACTCACATTTGTGTTCAATGATGTCTCATGAAAACAGTACCCCCAATGTACAAGTTTTATGGGGTTTTGGAAAGTTACAAGGTCAAATATAGGACTTACAAATTAAATTATCTGGTATTTTTTCCTGGGTTGTCAGGCAGGTCCCTCAATATATAATTCAGGACCTGCCTAACCCAGAAAAATATGATCGATGATAACTTGTAATTTTATTGTTGTACATGATACGTTGCTCAAACCAAAACATATAAGCTTTGGTGTAGGAATGTGCCTATGATTTAGCATTTTCAGTAAGAGTATAGCTAGCACTTACAAGTTAAAGCGTATATTTTTTTTACTTTACATAGAGGCTTCCATATGTATATCTAGTTATTAATTCATGTCTCTGCATCCTTATTAAGATTATAGATAACGTGCATACAGCCCTATGTTTGAAATAGAATGTGGATGGCACCTGTTGCCAGGTTGTTTGATTCACCAGAACATATAGGAATGTAATATATTTTCCTTTTATGCATTTGCAATGTATTATTTTGTAGTTTGCACATATATATTTGTTTCACACTTTGCACTTCACTCAGTCACAATAACATGGAGATGCACTCAATCACCATTTATGGGATTCGTTCTGCCAACTAATTATTGCACAAACTTCTACTCTTCTCTGAAGTGCACTTGAGTTGCTGTTAGTAGCTTAATATTGTGTACATTAGTTTCTTAGCAACCATGCACGAGCATGCACATCACCTTGACAGCGCGCAAATCACATGGTCCTCTTCTGCACTTTTGGCTTCAAGTGAAGGAGGCACAGACGCACATGCTATTGAAAGTGAATTATCTTTCTTCTGTTTAATCACACAGGTTATCATATTCATTTGATCTTGAGAAAAGCCCGAACTGGCCAAAACGTCGATCTTTGTAACTATCACTATCATATATAAATCATGTATATTGTAAGAAGACCGTGGAGTGTTTAATGCGGGACAAGCACCCAGGCAAGATTTAACAAAATATAGGCAAGGAGAGTGACAATCATATTGTGTGTGTTTTTTATATATATATATATATATATATATATATATATATAAAAGAAACCATGTTCAGGTGAGTGCAGCCCTCTTGGTTTCTTTTATATATTTGGGAGTCCCAGGCCAACTACTTGGTTTTGCACCCCTCCCTGTTACAGCTGCCAGGACAGCTTGCTATACCGCCATAATGGCGTTAAAGCCATTCTTTTGTAGGATGGCATAGCGCACCCTTAGCTGGGAAGTGGTTTAGAGACCTGCAGGTTAAAATCCGCTTGTCTAAACAAAAAGAGCCATTGATGTCTGAAAAGTAAAGTATTTATAGCCCAGGATATTCTACATTCTACGAACACAATAGTATTTCTACTGCAAACAAAAGTTTACAACAGCTTAAAATTGTCCCCACACCTATTGGGAACAAGTCATTTATTTACTTAGTCATTGTTAATGTTAGATTTCAGGGGCCTATACGCAGAAATTATACAGAACCCACTATAATAAATAATTAGATCATGTTAATGTGTTGGGATTGAGTATATGTGGTTTAACCTCACCTGTTTAAATGTTGCTGCACCATAAAAAGAAATGCTGCCATTGAAACCACTTTTTATATTTATGGAATGTCTGACTCGATAATAATATTCAGATTATAATGATCTATCAGTACAAAAAGTACAAAGCCTATTTGTTAAAATGTGTATTGTTTTTTTTTTTTTTTAGATGTACTGCTTGTTTATACTTATAACCTCCTTGTTATTTTCATTATTAAAAGTGTAAAAGATTAGTCTAACATACTACACCCATGACACTTCAGGTCAGTATGTGTAGTCCGTGACTAAATTTATAGACAAAATTAAAAGCAAAATGGAGATTATGTTTACAGCTTATATAAAATCTGTGTATTGAGCGATTTGATGTTGGATAGCTGCATTGCTCGCCAAATGTCTCTAGGCTTGGTACCTATACTTTGATTAATTGTGCCTTGTAAAAATATTGTGTTTATAATATACGCAAAGGTATACCAATATGTGTAATATATTAAAACATATATTTGTGAATGTATTATATGCATATATAATCTGATAAAATATATTTTTGAACTACTTTCTCAGCTAACAATGCGGAGAAGAAGAAGGGAAAATGCTCTATCCTTACAGAAAAATATAAATTCCTTTTCATATTTTCCGTATTTTTTTTTGTGCGTTAAAAAGCAGAACTTTTCTTTGTGTATGTTTGTTTTATCAAAGAATGCCTCTGAGTGTCCAAGAGTCAGAGGAAAACATCTTACTGGTTTTTATATCTCATTGATTACTACTGGGGATTGGTCAGGTTTCTAGCACCAAGGAACAAAGCAAGCTTTATTCTTCAAATCTCTTACTTCTTCAGCCCACCTCGAGTTCTGTGCTTTGATTTTTAATTTATAGAATAACAGTAAAATAAATCTTATGATCGGGTGTCAAGAACCTGACAGTTTAATATTTAATTGTTACATTTCATTCTGAGTCATACTTTGAGCAACTGAGAAATCTAACAAGATACAAATTGGAGAGCGAGGACTAAAATGACTGTATTGTGGTATATGTGGAGTTTCGTCAGCAAGGCATAAAATGCAATAATTTGTTCTCTGTGTTTTCCCATAAAAATCATTAAAAAACAGGGATAAATGAAAAATGTGTTTTCATTGTGGCTTTCAAGTAAATTCCCCTTTTTATAGTGCAAGAGGATTTCAGAATATCAAGTCAATCCATGCAAGGTTGGTAAACTGATCTGAGAAATGTGTTCACAAAGTAGCAAACCCATGAAATGTTTGATGTGATTAGCAGATTTAAAATAATAATATTAAGACTAATAATAAGACTCTGTAAGCGATGGAATCATGACCATTCAATATATAGTGGTTATGGTGCACAAAGTTTCTCGGTGCTGTCCCTCGTTTTCATGACAAACCATTTACAAATGGTTCGACAAAAAAAAAAAAAACAAGCTCTCCTGGCACCTGAAGACTACCCTTCCTTTGATCAATAATCACGTGAAGTTAACATGTTATCACTGTCCATTTTGTCCAGCATGGGTGTTATTGACAGAATAACCTGTATTGACTGGTTAACTAGTCCTCAGTACCTTCAATTTTAGTTTTTTGTAACATGTGGATCTATCAATGCAGATTAAGTTATTTATTAGGTAGTCCTGTTTTGTATATGTATATGGATTTGTTTTTCATGTTATATTGATGCCAGGTCCCAAAGCAGTACCTGTTCTTGAAACTACATTCTTGCCTGTGCATATAACAGTTTAAAAGATGTCTGTACTAGACACTGCACTGGTGTCGGCTTATATTATTAGAGTCTATACAGGTCCCTGAAATCACATACTATTTCCATATGAGCATCAATTAGAATGTTCTTCTCAATGCCTACAACTGGCCGTGTCTACCCTTGAAGCAAATCTCAAACCATGTCTGAACCCAGGGAATGCTGGCTTCATCAATTTAGAATAGGAGGAGATTTTGCTAGCCCAGCCTTGTGTGGGGTTGTGCATATGGGGATGGCCCTCTTAATGTTCTCCGGGTCTAGCCCTTTGGGTTACGTCCAATGAGACTGCAGTATCTGGGACTGACCAGGGTGCCAGACTGATGAGAATGTATTACGACCACATAGTGAAATGAGAAAGGGCTTGTAAAATTCACTGCACACACTCATTGGTAGCGGTGGACTAGCGAAAAGAGTCTATGGCTCCTGTGCATTCACAGATTTCTGTGAATCATCCCTCATGCTGTGCTGCTCATCTCAGACTCATATACAGGATGTAGGACCATCCAAACCGAGATCTTTTAATGTTGTATACAAAATAATACAGTGTAAACGTTTCCCCTGTCTGAACCTGAAGAGGTGCTACCAGGGGCGTACCTAGAGCATTTGGCACCCGGGGCGGATCCTGTGCTTGGCACCCCCTTGCCCTCCCCCAAGCCCCCTTCCCTCCCCTCTTTCTTTTTTTTACAATTTATAAACTTTGCAAAACCGCTGTCAGCCCCTCCTGCAAAACCTCTGTCCTGCCCCTTCTACAAATCCTGTACTGCCCTGTCTACAAAACCCCCGCAATCCCCTTCCACAAATCCCCTGCTTACCCCCCTTATAGAGACTCCTGTCCCAATACAAAAACCCTGCCCCCTTCTACAAAATCCCTGCAGCCCCACACACACATTTACAGGCAGACAGTCACACACTCAGTTACAGACAGACAGTCACACACTCAGTTACAGGCAGACAGTCACACACTCAGTTACAGGCACACAGTTACAGGCATACAGTT